TTTGCTAACATGTATTCACTTTTGATTTCTTTTTTCTTTTGGTTGTGGGGATTGAACTCAGGTCTTTGCGCTTGCAAGGCAGGCCACCAAACCACTGAGCTAAATCCCCAGCCCTTGCTTTTGATTTCTAATGAAATAACTAATGGCTTTCAGAACTAGCAGGTGGTTCTTTTTAGGGGTCTCTCTGCTCTTTGAAGGTGATCTGGTTTCCAGACTGGGATGACCATGTGTGGCCATGTAGTTTTCCTGCTTCTCTGGGCTTTGGTTGTTTGGGAAAGTGGATGTAGCCACTCAGCAGGAATGTTTGTTTAGCATAATCAGATGTCTAGAGGAAGCTGTGTCCTTCCTTGCTCGTCCCTGGAGTAGACAAAAGGTTGCAGTTAGGCAGGAAAGGCTGCAGGGCTCGGGGCCACTTTTTTAAAGATGTTGAGTCAGTTTCAGGAAACTTGCAACTTCTGTTTATACCGCAGCTGCTTTGCTCTCTTTATGGTGAGGACTAGAAGTCTGGCCAGATTTCTGAAGAAAAATTAAAGCTACTCAAAGCTATGGGTTCAGCTTTGGCCAAATTAGCCTCTGAATCTATGACACCAGCTGCCCTCATCCTTGGCATGCCGTCTCTGTTTGAATTGATTGCAAGCCCACTTCAGCCTTGAATTTTGGTAAGATAGCTGGATAGCAGCTCCAGCTATTATAAATGACATGAGAAGACCATAGGTCTCCCTTGGTATAGCTTCTGCGGAAGAAAACCCTTGCTGAAAGTTCCCTTGAACTATTTATTTGTGCTCAGATCCCTCAAACGCCTATCACAGTAAACTCAGGAGATGCTCTGTAATTGGACTGACTCGAAGGAAGAAAGGGTGACTCTGAACATCCCTCAACAGACCAAGCAAATCACTTTAGCCTTAACCATTTACCCTGAGCACCACTCGGACAGTGTGTTTCTTTAGGCACTATCCTGAGTGTTGCTTGGGCAGGCGTCATTTCAACCAATTCTTGTATTGAGTTAAGTTTGATAAAATCGTCATATTTAAGTATTTCCTGCTTATAAAAATTAATGAGAAATATGCCCCTTTTGGTCATCCTATATTTAAGTAACTGGACTGGCCAGTGGTTAACCCACCAAATTCTTCCTTGGGGGTGGCATCCTCAGCCCTGCGGTCTTAGAAGGGTGAGTCTAGATGTCAGCTTCCTGGAGAAAGCATACTGGAAGGAGAAAAGCACCACAATGCCAGGTCTTTCCTAGTGTTAACCATTTATAAATAAGTACATTTGCTTTCATACATACAGTTCATTATACAGATGACGCTCTGTATACATGGGGCAGGAAAATGCATTCATTTGAACTTTTCACATCTATCTCACACAGCTCACATGTACAGACAATAAAACTGCTCAAGCAAGTACAGCAAAGGAAAATGTCTTCCTTATACACGGGGCTGGAGGGCTCCGCTGGGTGTGGGGCATCCCCACTGCACGAGTTCACAACTGTGTGGTGTTCTATATATCAGGATAGAGAATAAACATGCACTGGATAATATACTGTACAGAGAAAGTCCTTTACATCTGAGTTATAGAAAACCTAAAGGAAAACTAAGTGCATTAAAGCTTTTTCCAGCAAGTGTCTTGAAAGGACAGCAAAGAGGAAGAATCAAAATTATATTAGTACAAATCACTCTTTAATTGTAGACTGTACATGTCTGTACTAATTAAAATCATCTTGGATTTGGAGGAGACAGAACAGAGACACAGATGCTGTGCTAGATGGAAAGGAGGCCACGCCTGAGAACGGCACCTGCCCTGAGCCTGACAAGGAACTGGCCCCACTCAGCAGGAATCAGCCAAAGGTAAAAAACAAAAACAACAACAACAACAACACAGAACAACAACAGGAACTGTAACTTACAGAAACAACCCATGAATGGAGTGGAGATCTGGGCCAGCATCTCTAACCCCCCCACCTCCCCCAAAAGTGATACACAATAAGGCAGGTACATTCAAGTACGGAATTTTCCAGAATAACTCTGTCTAGTCCTGGAGACTGATGGGAGTGAGTTGAGTCCTCTTAGCCAGATTTTCTGGTTAGTGATTAGCAAAAGAAAATTCAGCCACCAGTGCTACAAAATCAAAGCAGCTAAGCCACTTCCTTTCCACAGAATAGGTCTATCTGAAAAAATGAGAGCAATGCTGGCCTGCATCTGTAAGCATCCAGCTACAACCTGACTGGTCAGTTTAGTGTAGGTATCACAGAATCAGCAGGAAGAAATGAGATGACAGGGTGAGGAAACATGAAAGTAACACTTGATTTTTGGTGTCCAATTATGCATTCATTTGGTACTGACTTTCAAAGCTCTGACTGTGGCCATCATGTGGCCACGAGCATCTCAGGGTGGCTCAGCTGCTGTGAGGCATTGGACACCGAAATGAAGGTTACCAACACTTCAGCCCTTGAGTGGTCTGTATACAAAAGGAGTTGATGAAGACCCAGTGATTATTCAAGTAGCTCTGCACAGTGGCTCCACCAGCCCCATTGTGCTTAAGTCCAGGCCCCCAGCCAGCCACCTTCTGTTGGGAGCAGTCAGAGCTGAGTTCAAGGCATTGCATGGTGAAGGTTTCCATGACACGTCTTTGTAGGTAGCTCTTACCCCTAAGCCCTTTGTTCATTGTTGTTAGTCATGGTAGATGGTCAATCTGGAATTCCTAGAGGAAGTGGAGAAGCCACATCTCCCATTGAGGCATGGCCCCTGGTGTGGAGGCAGCAGTGGGCTGCCTTTGCAGGTCAGCTTCTTGAGAAGTGGCAGCCCGAGGACAGACAGGCAGGGTGAGCGAGGCTGCTGAGCACTGGGAGACGAGAAACCAGGCATGGGCAGGCACATCCTGCCTCCTGGGGGGGGGGCGCCTGTTCCATTTTGTGGCAAAGATTCAATGAGCAACTGGTTTTTTCCAAGGCATTTCTGTAGTAGAAAAATAACTTTCTTTGATTCAAACCACTCAGCTGTGATATTTCTAGAGTTATAAAAGTTGGGAGGCTGAAAGGAGGGATGATCACGGGGAAGAAAGGTTCCTCTCCACACCTAGCCATCTATCAGAGCAAGGGAGTGCTATTCAACCTTCTCCCAGCCTATTCCTGGATGAAGTTCCAAAGCAGGTGGTGTTCAGAGTCTGTCTTATTGTAACTGGCATAGATGCATGAAGACCCTTCTAGGCCTTTCCCTTCTTCCTGAACCCCACCTATGGCCTACTTGCTGCCCTGAAAGCAGCTCCTCTGAGGGAAGGCTGTCTTTCTTTGCTACCAGACAAGCACAGTGCAGAGCCACAGTGACACCTACTGAGTGGTAAAGCACGGTGAAGCACAGGTGACGTCCACATATCCCACTGTTTATGACTAAAATCTAAGGAAAAATACTTATGGATATTAAATTAGATACTGATTAATGTTTAATTTTTCTATTTGGGCACATCTCTGGAATATAAAAATACCAATATTTAGAGGGATTCATAAACTATTATACAATATAAGGATCAAGAACACCTTTTTCTAGGGTGTTCCATTTATAATAATTTAGGAAAAGTATTTAATAATCCAGGCTTAACTAAAATTAGCAAACTTGTATATCTGGACAACAACCTGGGTACTGTACATGATTCTAATTTGTGGAATTTTCCTGAGCCATCGCGTTTAAGTTTAAACACATCTAAAAAGAGGGTACATGGGAGAGGAACAAGAAGGGTTTGTGCTCTATTAACTTGGGAGTTTTAATAGTGCACATCTGCAACCCGGACAGCTACAACAGCAGATACAAAATGGTCTCCATTTTGTCCTTGCCAAATTCTCATGTTACACAGGTTTTTCCTTTACTTTGTAAATAAACATTTATTTTTAATTGTTGATTGTGTGCCTTACTGATCCAGTAAATAAAGTAACCATGTCTCAGGAGTCCCTAAGAAAATTGCTGGAAAAGCACTTTAAAATCACTGCAAAGTTTTTCGTTTAAAAATTCTTAATCTTTTTGATGCTTATATACAACAGTTATTTCTTGTGCTATAAATGCTGTGATTCACTGCTTGATTTCTTTCTTTTCCTTTTCTTGAAAAATACACTAAATGACAAGAGCGATTCTGCTAATTCCTAACAAAGACACTACTCACACTTAAATATCCAGTATTTATCAGAGTTACAAATTCAAACAGTAAAGTGCACCCATTTATAGACATGATGTGATGGAAACCCATTAGTGCAAGAATTGTGGGCAAAGGGAACATATGATTTGGTAAGAAACTTATAAGCTGAAGTTTGTTACCTCTATCTCCATTTCAGAGTGATGTGGATTGGGTAAGTGGAATTTAACCAGCTTCATTTGAAAAATTTCCTCCCACCTGAAGCCAGACATTGATTCAGCAAATGCCTGTTGTTGAGGAAGGAACATCTCTAAATTACAGTACTAAGATCATCCCATGGCAGTGAAATAGCACAAAAGGGTACACAGTCAGCTTCCAAGGAAGAACTTCATCTTCTACCCCAATAAATTCCCGATGTGTCTCTGTAAAACAACGGGCCCCAATAGTGATAGTCACTCCCTCTTATGGCTAAAAAAACTGCATTTTGACAGTTGATATTTTTGCCCAATAGGATGTAGTCCCTAAATCTCATTTGTCCTGGAAAACTGAAAGAAAAACCTTGGGGAGATGTAGCATATTTGTAAAACCACATGAATTGCCCACCTACCATACCAGGTGAGTGTGGATGGTATGTGTGGCATTCCAAACAGGTAGGGGCACTTTTTTAATAGGCTGAGAAATTCATCAAAATGTAGCAGTTCCCCACTGAGAGGTGATTTAAATAGGACAAAATTGCAAACAGATAAACACGTCTGAGACCTGGCCAAAAAGACAGCTGAGAAGCTACAGATTCAATCCCCAGCATCAGAAAAAAAGAAAGAAAGGAAATGAAGTATGAAGCTGTGGTATCAGCCTATAGCTGGGAGTCCTGCAGCCTTACACATTAGGCAGGCACTCTTATTACTGAGCTACACCTCCAGCCCACACTTTCTCTTCCTCATGTGAGATACAGAAAAGTAAGGAGATAGAGTCCCACCCTGGTCTCCTTGAGAAGAGGCAGTCCTTACGTTTCTGCAGTTGGGTCAGTTGTTTGTTCCACGAACAGAGATGAGTATGGGGGTTAGGCTGTCTTAGGCTTGGGGCTGAGGAGGCCCATCTACTTGGCAGGATCTTAATGAGTAAAGAAATGTTTCTGAATTCTGTTTTATGCTCCTCATGTCTTAATGATCCTTTCAGAGAGGACTTCTACAAATGAGTCTGGTCACAACTAGATTTTATTCAGGAAACTTCCCTTCCTATAGCCCTTTACTAACAAGAGCAGAATTATTTCTAACAACAGGGAACTAATGCTCTTCTGTTTAGTTTCAGCTGTTTAAGTTTATTGGGTTGAGCCACTTAGTTTCAAGGGCTGATGTGCAGCCAGTAACATGACCATGCTAAGGCTTTGGTTTCAATGTTCTTGCTGTCCATTTCATAGTGGCCTCATTCAATCACAGGTTAGGTTACCAAACAAGCACAAGACCTAGAAGATGTGTAAAGAACGACTGGAGAGGAAACTTTTTTTCTGTCTCATGTCCCCATTAAGGGCTAGAAAATAGGACTGAAAGGGTCTTCAACCTTAAACACTCTTTTCTGTGTCTGATATTCCAATAGCAACTCCCCAAACACCCCTAGCAAAAGAAAACAATTCTTCTAGTAGTGAATGATGAAACTATAAATCTTGAAATGGAATTAGACAACTGGCATGGAATGCAATGGCCTTGAGTGGAAGCCCTCAGAATCAGTCTTACAGTCCCAAGAAGATCCAATCAGCTTTGTGAAGAACCAAGTTCTTCTCAACACAATCTGGGTTGGAAAACAGAGTATGGTCAGTAAAACAAGAGTATGCTCTCAGTGAAAATACAACAATTGGGATTATTACACCAGACAACCCTCAGGAATAGCTTGCTTTTTGTGGAATCTGATGCTCAGGGACGTTTCAGTATCTAAAACAGAACAGATACTCTATAACATTTTGCTGAGAATCCAGAACCTTTTGTTCTGTTTTCTCTCTCTGTATTTATTCCCTTTCCTACCCTTGGAAAATCAGCAGCTTTTAGTGGTTAATTGCTGGTTTAAAAGATAAGAATAATTCTCAGTGAATTCTTTATAAAAATGCCCATGGTACTCATTGAATTTCCATGGCTGACTGATGCACTTAAAGGGTTGGCTGTTTCCTAAATGTCCTTAAAATGCCTCTTGGAAAATCACTGTAGCGATGCTTCAAATAATTATGCTGTTTTTCTTCTAATCTGAAAGACTTATTTCTTCTGTTTCCTTGACCCTTCTACCCCATAGGAAGACCAGCAATAATGCAAATGAACATTCTAGACCTGGTGACTGCAGGGAGCTGGAGTCTAGGGAGGAGACCATGGCACAGGAATGCACTGGGGCTGGCTATTTGGATAGCACTGGATAAGAATGCAAAGGCAAAGGGGCATCACGCTCTTTTCTAAAGTTCCTAGAAGAAAACGAACAAGAACATCTTACTTTTTAAAAAAGGAAAAAAGACATTTATACAACAAGAACATCAGTGAAAGCGATTGTCTCCTGGAAAAAGCTGACCAGTGTTGTCTGATCTCCCTGGGTTAGAGCACACAGCACAGAAATCTCCTTGTTGGCATCTGAAGAGGGAGGAGAGCATGTGGCTGGGGCACAGACCAGAGAAACTGAAGTCCTGGCTTTCTGGAGGCCAGCTTCCCAGTTGGCTGCATGCAAAGGATTTCAGCATGTGGGCTGCCACCTCTGAACACCACACATAAATTACATGAGAAATTAAGCCAGAGAACTACCTCAATGTGGAAACCAAGCCTGAAAATGTGCAGTGAAAACATATGGGTCTCACTCCAACAAATGTCTTTTAAACATTAGATTCCACAAACGGTCTCTTTGGTTTGATAGGGGATGTCTGCCCTTGTCGAGAGTCCCGGGACAACTGCCTGTACAGGTTGTCCTGGTATGCCTGAGCCACGGGTAGGGTCCGAGCCACCTTCACATCGGGATAGGAGGAGGCTTGGCTGACTCTTTCCAAGAGGTCTCCGCGGGACCCATTAGCCAGCATCCCATGGGGGCTATAATAATCGTCTTCCAGCAAATGGCCATTCTGTGCATTGTTGGTTTTATTATAAAAGGCAATGTTGCTGATAGATGATGGTGGACTGAAGGACTCAGGCTGAGGCAGGTTGCCTGGAGATGTGGGACTGAGTACGGTATCCACTGATGAAACGGCCCAGGTCCGATTCTGCTGGTGAAGGTGGGGGTACTGTTGAGTCCGGGCTGTTTTATCTATGATCCCCATGAATGGTGTGGTCCTGGATCGGGTAGGCTCACTGGGGTAACCTCCCTGAGTGGGAGATACTGGCGACAGCTCATCACATGACCTATCATATGCCGGTTTCAGTGGGATCTCCATTTGCTGAATTGAGGAAGAAGGCCGGAAGGTGGGAGTCAGGTTGGAGGTGGATGAGATGCTATTGCTAGATGGGGAGAAGCGAAGGCCCACACTCTGAGAGTGCAGCAGTGGCCTGGGGGTTGGTGGGTGGGGCTTAATTTCACTAGGGTTGACACTGATAGGTCTTCTGATTAAATGTGACACATCAGGGGAACCTAGCTGGCTGGAGGAACGCTCCAAATCTAGTTTTGAGTGACATACTGGGTAATAGGATGCTGACTGGCTACGCCCAATTTGTGGTGTCTGGCTGTATCTCATGCCACCTCGATAAGCGGAGGAAGGTCGCTGTGGAAGATCTTCTTTGGTCAACCCTCCATGCTGACAGATGGCACCTGCACTTAGGCTGGCTTGGACATGCTGCACAGGCCTCCCATCCCCTACAATTCCCCCAATTGATCCTTGATAAACCAACCGGCTCTGACTTACTCCCATGTCTCCTTGTGAAGACTGGTATTTACTGGCCATTGAATGGGCAACTTGGCCATATGCTCCTGTGGGGATGACAGTGCTTGAGTGAACTGCTGAGCTGGGCTGGTTGCTTCTCACAATCTGGGCCTTAGCAGGCTGTAGCCTGAGCCCTTGCTGGGGAACTGCCACGGGAAGCTGAGGCATCTGGTAGGAACGCTGGGCCATTTTGGATAATGGAGACTTTGGTCTGCCCGGAAGCTGGCTAACACTTGTTTCTTGCTGATAGCGCACAGGTGAACCGGACTGGGATCTGTAGACACTCATGCTTTCAGCTGGAGGGCTGGCCCGATACTGAGGTCCTCTGCGAAGAGGGGAAGGGGGAGGGCTTGGGTATTCTTTGCCCTGCCCTCCTACAGGAGGGGGGCTAAAACGGTAAGATCCACCTTGATGAGCTGGGGAAGTATGTGGTGGACTAGGCCTGTAATGAGAGTTCTGGTGAGTTGGAGAAAGAGCAGGTGAGGTGGACTGATATCCCTGTCTAGTGGGAGAGCCAACAGAACTATTGGACCGGAAGTCAAAAACCTGATGAGAGCCAAGAGGTGAGCTAGAGATGTAGGCTGAATCCCGATGGGCTGGAGAGGAGGGTGGGCTCTGGATTATTGGGAGCCCCTGACTGGGCCGAGCCTCTGTCTGGAGGCCAATGGAAACATTTTCAACATCCTGTTCCAGGTATTCCTCCTCGAATATATCTTGTACGGAGTATATATCTTCATGCTGGGGTTCAGGTTCTGTCTCTTCCGGTAACTGCTGCTGAGGCTGCTGCTGTGGTGGTGGTGGTGGTGGTGGAGGTTGCTGCTGCTGTTGCTGCATCTGTCTGCACTCTTCTTCTACCCTCATGAGGAGTCTCTGGATCTCACGGTTGTTTGGACATAGCTTGATGGCCTCGTTCAGGTCCTCTAAGGCCGCTGCAAACTGTCTGCTTGACAAAATGCAAACACAGGAACTGAAATTACTCTGAATCACCAGGAATCACCAGGAGCTGTAAACGGTCACTATTTCAGGGAACTGTGGTGGCACTTGTGGGAGTCTGGGGTGTCCTGGTTTAGTTTAATTTGTAAGGAAAGAAATAAGTGTGCTATCATTCTAGAAGAATCCAGAATGACTCTTTAGCCCTTTTATCCTTCATCTTCCTTCTTGCCTCTCTGGGTTTAGCAGAGAAAAAGTCTCCACTGTGTCAGTCCAGCCAGGCCCTTCAGGAAGATTTTCTTAGTGCTCAAATGCACACCAGGCAGTATGAGGGTTGGGTGGGGTTGTCATTTACAGTGTCACTGTCAAGCAGCTTAGGAATAAAACAGTAATTATAATATTCAAAATCTTGCTGATCCAGCAGAAAATTTTCTTCATATTCTTAATATTTTGGCTGTAAATTTTAGGACTTTTCCATCTTATGCATGAACCCTGTACTCTGCTCTTTCTGTCCCTCACCCCACCACAGTGTTGTTTCATTCTGCTAGGTCAGAGCTGGCCGATATTAGGCTGACCAGGCAACTCAGGTCGGTTCTGAGCTCATCCTAAGAAGATTCTAATTTACAAATGAGGAAATGAACTGTGAGAGATAGTCCCATTCTCTCTATTAGTACTGCCTGGAAAAGGGGCAACTGATCTTGTGGGAAAGGAACAATCCAGAGAGAAAGAATTTAATGGCTAAGTTGCTGTAAACACTTTGTCACCTCAGGTGGTTAAGACTAATATCACTGCTGGCATCATCACTAGCCTCAGTCTGGGTTTGATTTTCATGGCTGAATATCTCCCTGGTAATAGCAATGAACCCAAAGCAAGCATTTTCTAAGTAGAGTTTGAGAGAAGGGGTGGTGTCAGGCACGAGACATCAAGGATAGTGACAACTTATGCAAAGAAACTGACGGCAGGTTCTAGGCCTTTCTGGAGGCTTTCCTACTCAGAAGATAAACTACAGCAGAGGGCACAAGGAATGTGGACAGTACTTCTCTTGGGTTTCTTCAATCCTGGCACCAGGACCTCTTTGTGTGTATGTGTGTGCGTGTGTGTGTGTCTGTTGGGGGTGGTGTTCAGATGAGGAGGGTTGATGCCACCAGACTTGAGGAGAGCCCCAAAAGAAAGACTAATAATTCAGGAAATCCCCAAATGCCTGTAAGAAAAGAGAGGAGTCTATGATGGTAGGTGACTCATCCTGCCTTTCCCTCTAGAAGGGTCGGTGGGATAATTTGTTTAAGTGATCTCTTTAAGTCATCTGTGTCCCTTTTACGCTCTCTGCTTTGGGGTTGAAAAGTGATTGAGACATGTCAGAGGTTTTTTGGAAGAAGGTGCCATTATCTACTTTACTTTTCTCCCAAAGTTAATTGTTCTTGGTCTCCACAGCCCAAAAGACTTACTGATGTTGAGCTGAGTGCAATGCTGTAGGAGCCGTCCCCAAAGCTTGGGCCTCACTGACACATTTGGGTACATATGCCCCAGAGTGGCCCTCATTGCCTTGGCCAGATTTTCAGAAAAGAGACCTCTTGCTTTTCACCCTCTCTCTCTCTTCTCACCTGCTGCTGCGTTTTGCCCTTGCTCTTGCATAGTAAGCTTCATAAGATTTCGGTTTCAGCTCCAGGGCCTTAGTAGCAAATTCCTCCGCCATTCCAAAATCCTGTCATTACAATAGGTGTGCAAATGAGTCATTGAAGAGATATAAAAAATAGACAACTTGGGAATAAAACAAATTATATGTACATTTCTTTGACATTTATGGATGGAACACCTGGAATTCTGGACATGCCTGACATGGCTCTGGCCACATGGCCCACAGACTGAAAATTTCCTTCTGCCCTTGCCCTGAGTGACCCTATGACTGATCACTGAACTTTATGTGCTCAGAGTATTAAAACACTTAATTTGGCATCTCTTTGTGTTTTCAGCAAATTATTTTTAGCTCAGAAGCCCAACACCAATCCTTTACAGTGAAAATCCTGAAGCTAGAAACCTGAAGTCTTGTTCCACATGCATATATGATGCAAATTTTATTTCTCATTTCACAGAGGCTTTTCTAGCCTGATCTTCTTCTTGCCTGGTTCCTTATTTATGAAACACTAAAAAAAAAAAAGGGCGGGGGGAGAAAGAGGATTCTGGCTGTGGGTCTGTGCTATTCCTAAAAGTCCCCTAGAAGAACATGGTCTTTGAGCTATCTACTCTCACTCTGAGAATCCTTGGGAACAGGGATTTGTGGGGGACAATGCTGAGTTAGAAAGTCCATAGTCTTTAAGATCCCCTTAAATACTAAACTAAAGGGGAAGGTTTTCTTCTTTTAATGTCAAAGCCATAGTGTAGTACTGTAGCCTCTGGTTATACTTATGATTCTTGAGGCAGAAAACAAAGCTTTAGGCAGAACAAAGGGCCTAGGGGATAGGCAAATTAAAAAAAAAATAGTGGGAAAATTTCTGTGGAAGGAGACAGACTTTTGGTACTTAGTGTAGTGCTGGCCTGTGGGAGGTAATTCCTAGCTTTCTGAACAAAGGTAGTGCTAGAATAAAAGTGTTCCAATTTATATGGGCCATCTACCAACCTTACAGTTTCTCATCTCATTCATTCTTCTGGGATAATAATTATTTCTGGGGCTTTGAAAGTACCTAAGGAGTAGATTATTTGATAGGAACAAAAAGAAGTCAGCAAGCTGGCAGCAACTTCTGAGTTTTGGCTTATTTTCACTAGCTGGAACCATAGGAGATCCTTAGGGCTATTTCTTCTGTTTCACAGGAAAATGGTCAGGCAGAACCACCCTGCTGCCTTGACTAGAGATATCGCCCTGCAAAAGGGACACCTTTCATGTCCCCACTCCTCTCAGCACCCTGGGACAACTCTGCCTCTGAAGGTCATAACCATGTCTTCTGAGATGGCCAAGTCTATCTTGAGGCTTTCTTCATTGTTAGCTTTTAGGAACAGGATTGATGATATAAAGGCCATATCCACAATCTTCCTGGAATTGATGCAGACTCCTTGTCAGCTGGAACACTGTTTTGGTGAGGCTGAGTTCTTTACTAATCAACACTTAGAATTATTTCTACCTCCTGAGGAACTGTGAGACCAAAGGCTAACGGATATCAGTGATTTCTCACATGATCTTAGCTATTCCTCTCATACTAGCTTAGAATATGAAAGGTTTCTTGGCTCAAGAGTGTCTTCAGGTCAAAGGAGCAGTGGCTCAGGGCACCTGGGACTATCTGCAAGGCAAGCAAGAAGGAACCAGAACCACGACATAGGGAGATAACAAAGGACAGGAAGAGTTCTAAGATTTCCTCCAGGGTAAGAAGAGACATGGCATCCTGGAATAAAAAGATGTAGAAGAAAGCAAAAAGTTCAAGAATAGTTTTAGAAATTAAACCTTGCAGTTGATGGTTCTGAGCCCTTTTCCTAGCCCTTCCATAAATGAGTGGGGCATATATTAGAAAGGTGGGCAATGACTAAAATCCATAACTGATTGTAACTGGAGTTGTAGAGACCACTGCCCCATTTTCCCAAGGAGCAAAAAAATGACTTGGTAGGGAAGGGATGGGGATGAGGGTGACGGTATTCCAATTTCTTTCAGTGGAAATTCAAAATGCTACAAGGTGCTCACAACATTAACTTTTCTATAGCTTGAGAAACGAAGTACACTTAGACTTGATTTCTTTCAAATTGCAAATGTCAGTGCTCTGTGAAGGACAACCAAGTTCCGAATGGGACAGCAAAGATTTCAGGGGCCTGGTACAAAGCTAGTGAGTGGCATGAACTTTCAATTTCCAGGACTAAAGAAAAGAGTTGGGATGAGAGAGACTTACATTCATTTTCCGGCGACATCGAGAGAGGTTGAGGAGGAGAGACACTTTTAGCTCTCGGAAGGTTTTCAAGTCCTCACCAAACCCTTCTCTAGGGAATTTCTTCAGAGCATACTGGTAGCGCTGGGCAGCTTCCTTTACTTTACCTTTCTAAGGAGGTACAAGATAGAAAAGTATACCGTTGGTCTGCTGAGCAGCTGAGGAAATTTCATCCCTCTTCCCTTCCTGCTCTCAGCAGTTGTCACTATGGGTTTAGTCTACCACATACTCTGATAGTGAGAACAGAAGTCTTTTTTTTTTATTTTTCTATATATTTTCCCCTGGCAGTGCTGGGAATCAAACCCAGGGCTTCACACATGCTAGACAAGTGCTGTACTACTGAGCCACATCCCCATTCCAGGTCTAGTCTTTTCTAAAGGTAACTAACTCTCTCGTAGGAAACATCAGGTTGAAAGGGATACTCAAGTTACAAGCCAGGGAAACAAAGCCTTGACAAATGGAAGGCTCTGGACCCAGCTTCCCAACTTGATTCCAAAGGACTATCCTTGTTCATTTCAAAGTTGATTTTTCTTGAATGGCTGTCTCTATGTACTAGTTACTGTGTCTTCCTTAGTTTCTGCTTTGTTTGGAGATTCTTTTTCTGTCTTCTGGTTTACTATGCTGTCTTTCAGAAGAGCTCATTCTCTTTATAAAGAGTATGATAACTCAAACGGTCCAAGTGTTGCTTCCCTCATCTCATGGTAGAAAATAATGTCAACTAGTTTCCCCTGAGGAAGGGGGCAAAGGAACAGGATAGATGGTAGTAGAGAAGTGAAGCTTAGAATTTGTGATTTTTATCTAGGAGGCTGAGGCAAGAGGATTCCAAGTTTGAGCCCAGCCTGGGCAACTTAATGAGACCATCTCAAAATAAAACATAAAACAAAACAAAACACCAGGCTGGTGATATAGCTCAGTACTACCAAAACATTGCGTGTGTGTGTGTGTGTGTGTGTGTGTGATTCCATCTGCCTTTGTAAAAGGGATCTTTAAAGATGAAATAAATTTATGACCAAGTTAAGGATCTAGACACAGGGGCCTTGAGTTTGTCTTCCATTTTGTATCTGAAAATCTGTAAGTTGAGTCCAGAAAGAACACAGAAGGCATCTCCTGCCTTAATCCACTGTATTCCATCTGCATTGCTGCATCTCCTCAGGTTGCAATCTTTTATTCTCCCTTTAGTTAGTACATTTTCTAGGAGAAAACTGGAGTCTTCCAGAGTAGAATTCTGAGTGGGAACAATAATAGTTCTGCTTATTTTCATTAGGTCAGATTCTTTGCCTTGGAATACCAGAAGTCATGCTATGACCAAGACTTAGATTTTTAAGAACAATGCCACTCTAAGTTCCAGAAATATGACGTCTAGAGCAATGAGAACTTTTTTTGAAGTAACATAAAATCAAGGTTGGGTCAGGGCTCAAACTTTCCACGAGTCCTCGGTTACATGACTCTCACTTAAAGGGTATTCAGGAAATAGAATTCAGAGCCCAAGTACTTGTATACTTCTGACATATGGTAGGGATAACATGCTTCACAATCATTTCTTCATCTTTTGGACCTGGGAATGTCTCAGGGATGCTCACTATTAAAGACTGGATTGGATTGGCATTCACCTTCAGGAGAAGATGATTCAGCTAATCTAAACGTGAGATGACTTTGACATGGAATAGTCTGTTTTTTTGGATACCCGGGATCAAACTTGGGACATTGTGCTTTTGAGGCAGGCAATGGTGCTACTGAGCTAAATCCCTGGCCTGACATGGAATAGTCTTAAGGAACTTTAATGGGACACATTTATGTTAGGGTATGGAGACTTCATTTTGAATTATGAGTGCAAAAAGATTTTTTTGGTTGTCATTCAGTGCAGTGACATTAAACAAATCTTACAACTGGTACTTCTCTTGGTTTCATTGTCTTATTCAAGGATGCTGATATGCTATCATATTTACTGATTTTTAAACCTATGTATATATTAAATATGAAAGCTACAATCAATAGACTGGAAATAGCTACACTACATAATTTTATTTTTACTTGTCCTGTAAAATGTCACTTAACAGAGTCAATGTAAAATTGATGTTACCATCTGTTAAAGACCAGATGAAACTAGGGCTTTAGCTTAATGGGTTGCAGGCAAAGCTAGGTTACTCTTGTTGGGAAGGCAAAACCCCAGGATCTTCAGTGTTGGAGCCAATCACTGAGGAATGGCATTCTACCTTCTTCTCTAGCTAAGGGGTGGTAACTGTCAAGATTTGGAAGGTTCTACATATAGAAAAAAAGTGTTTTTGTTTTTTGAGGAAAATGTTCCTCCCACCCTCACCTTATAAAACATGTCCCCCTCTTCCATCAGCTTGCTCAACAGGATGATCATGATGTCTGGTTTGGAGGTGGCCATCGCCCATGTGGCTGGACCTGTAGTGTACAGGATGCATGATGGGTAAAAAACTCATACTATGTAAGGGTGGTACGAAGCTATGTGAAAAAAAACATCCTGGGGGAATTTCTGCTGAGAGAACAACTTGTTCCACAGTAATTACCTCATAAGACCTGGGAGTATTGTAGTGACTCCCACTGTAAAGAAGCTGTGTTGGGTTTGTATTCACCTTAAAATAAGAATATCTGAACTGTCTGAGTTTGTACCACAGGAAGGCAGCAGAGCCTTTGTGTTGCATATGGGAACACAATGGCATAGTGTGGAATTATTTTACATCAAGAAACTGGGAGAAAAGATTTATATTAAAGGTCATTACAACATTTGAGAAAGGTAATTTATTTTTGATTTGGGACTCAAAACTTCCAGATGTTTAGACTCTTAATTTTTAAATATGTATTTTGCAGAAGGGAAACCAGTAAAGTCTCTAAAGGCTCCCTTGATTTATAAGTACCGAATTGGACTCCCTGACATGCACTTTGAACCAGGAGCACAGTTTGAATGTCAAATAGATGTGAAACAAACCAATGTTATTGAGGACTACTTTACCCACAAAAGAAAGAGAAGGTTAAATTGATTAGTTTACAGAGGGGCTTATTTACCAACTAAGCTTTTCAGGGTTAGTTATCAAAAGTTCAAGTTATTCTCTACAACAGTCATTAAAAAAAATCTTCTTTTAAGGTGAAGTAAATTAAAAGATTAGAGGTGTAGGGAACTCATGCAGGCTAAAATTAAAAGGAGAAGGCAAAGCTGACCAAGCCATCAGACCACGCCTGATGCTGACAGCGGTGAAATATACCTCGTGGGCGACTCGGTAACGTCTGACAACCTTCAAAGAAAGGAGAAAACAAAAAGTTGTAGAAGAGGAAAAAAAAATGGATGAAGGTGAAAAAAAAAAAAAAAAAAAAAAAAAAAGAAGGAAAAAGCAGCAGTGAGAGGCAGGCAGCAAAAAGCCAGCACATCAGCCAACCCTCGTCTACAGGTCTGTGGGGTGGGGGAGCAGCTGGGACAGAGGCAGCAGGGTCTTGAGAATCTGAAGCACATTCAGAGCAAGGGAAAGCAAAGGCTCATGGCACTGCAGGGATCCAGGATACTCGCAGTGTGGGGCTGGTACAGAGGCAGCACTGAGATGTTTTTAAGTTTAGCGCAGCCTCCTGGCTAAGGCTACAAGGGGCATGGCAGAGAACCTGGATGCAAAGTACGTCAGACCATGGCTCAGATGGAGCTCTCTGGGCCAGAAGTCTTTTTGCTCACTTGGACAATAACTGGGCCAGGGTAGAGGGAACTACACACAACCACACTAAACACCCTGGGTAGTCAGACCACTGGACCAGTCTGGCCCCTGGGCACAGATGGCCAATACCACCTTTCTTTCTCCTACCTATTTTGGCTCCTTTCTTCAGGAGAGTGACAACAACAGAAGTGTTCCGGCACCCTACTGCCCTATCCAAAGGGCGCATTCCACTGTAGTCAACGTGCTCGATCATGGCCCCATGATCTACCAGGAACTGGACCTACAACAGGGATTAGGCAGAACAGTTAACAGGTGCAGCATTGCCCAGCATTCTTCACTGCATTCATTCATTCGGGAGCTGGCTGCTGCCTGCCTTTTACTCAACTGCTAGTCTGAACCAGGCTATACAGCCATGGTATTTCAAGCCACAGCTATATTCTTGGTCTTTAATAGTGTTTTGCATATTCTTGCTCTCTTGTAAGTATAGCTCTGAGAACCCTACACCAGGAATCATTAAAATGTGACTTGACCTTTGACTCCAGTGAGTATTACTGATGGTGAACACCCTACTCTCTTGAGGTTGTTTAAAAGCACTCACCACTTCGGCATCACCATAAAAAGCTGCCAGGTCCAGTGGGGTACGGCCATTCTTGTCAGCATGGTCGGTGGCAGCTCCATTATCCACCAGAGAGCGTACCACTGAGAGATGGCCTTTCAGACAAGCCCAGCTGAGTGCTGTCAACCCTTCCTTATCCATTAGAGCAATGGAGGCACCTATAAAAGCAAGTGTTAATGTGGAACTGAGAAAACAGGAAAATTTATGATGATGGGGTAGTCCTCAAAGTCCATGTTCTGCCTTTTGTTTCTGGATACATCCATTGTAAAAAACAAAACAAAACAAAACAAAACAAAAAAACTGACCCTCTAAACTGCCAATAGAGCCAGGCATGGTAGTGCATGTCTAATCCCAGCACTTGGGAGGCTGAGGCAGGAGGATCGCTGTGAGTTGGAAACCAGCCTGGGCTACATAGTGAGTTCCAGGTGAGTCTCAACTACATAGTGAGACCCTGTCTCAAAACTCCCCCCAAAATCCCAACCCCCCCAAAGAAACAAAACAAAACAAAAAAACTGCCAATAGAGCTTAGTTGCCCTGGGTAGTTGTTATCTTCCACAACCCTCAACTTTAGTCTTCACCCTTCAGTGCCATCACTCCCCTGTGAGAATCTTCTACTTTGGTCAAATAGATGTACTCAGTGCCTCTAGAATCTCCCATAATGTTCTTGAATCCTCACTTTTGGTTATGTTACTCCCACATGGAGTATCTTTTCTTTCTCCATGTATCACTTTTACTCATTTGTTAGGAATTATCTCAATTGTCCCTGCCTCCAAGAAGTTTCTCCCAGTTCACTTACTTCATCTTGCATCTGTGCAATATGTTGTTATGTGTTTTTATGTATCCCACTTGGATATAATCAATTCCTATTGTGGCTATTTTCTGAACTGAGTTAGAGTCTTCCATTTATAATAATGTAAACTTGAGAGAGTCTCATAAAACAGAAGCTCAGCAGATGTTTATCATTGATGATAGTACCAGGCCAGTTTCTCCCTATGAAGTGGGGGAAATGTACTCATGGAAGAGTACTTAGCCCAGGTCACAAAAGAAATTCTGAATTTAATCTGAAGAAGTCCAGCTCATCTGGGTTTGGTGGCACAGACCTGTTATCCTAGCTGCTCAGAAGACCAAGTCAGGAGGATCACAATTTTGAAGCCAGACTGGACAACTCAGTGAGACTCTGTCTCAAAGCAGGGAAAGGAGGTGCACTGGGAGTGTAGCTCAGTGGCAGAGCGCTGTGGTTCAATCCTCAGTACTGGGGGGTGGGGTGAGGAGACAAGGCTAGCTCATAAAAAGACTAAAATAGTGTTTGACAAAGGTTGGGGAATGGAAGAGTTCATGATGGAGAATATAATGTGTAGTAAAATATTATGTATTTGAAAACTGCTAAGAGATTTTAAGTGTTTCAGCAACAATAATAATGAAAACCATTTATATGGAATAATGAATATGATAAATAGCTTGATTCAGCCCTTCTACTATACATATGTGTAACCTTCTTCAATAACCTCATCCCTATCCTCCTAGTCCCTTTTATATTTTACATGTTATTCTTGTATTATCTGTAAGGATCCAGCATACTCGAAATGCTGTTTTGTAGGGCCAGGGATTTAGCTCAGTGATGCTGCGCCTGTCTCGCAAGTGCAAGATCTTGAGTTTGATCCCAGGGACCAAATAAAAAAAAAAGAAAAAAAAGAAATGCTGTTTTGGTTTGTAAGCAGTCTAAATTCTGTGTGTGTTTGGTTCTTGGGCCTAGACTGAGTCCTTGATGGCGAGGAGCCTATCATTTCTATGACAGTTTTGAAGAGTACCTAAGACCCCCCAGATGGCACTTCATATTTACTAACTAGAGATCAACTTAATGCACATGGACACCTGCCAGGCTGGCTGGTAAGTTGAGTAAGATTCAGATGTCAGTTCAAGCTTAAGACCCACCACAGCCAGGCTCAGGGTCATCTGACCTCTCACTTTTGTATACCAAGAGGTCAGCAGATGATGTGGCTTTTCATGGTAGGATTTAAAGCTAGAAGGTACTAAATACCTCTAACCTCAGTGAAAGCTTTTCTCATAATGGTTTAGTTTACAAAGTAAAACACTGACTTTTAACATGGAATGAATGTGAATATAGGAGAGAATCCAAGAGCTTTCTCTGATGTAATATCTATAAACTCCTTGGACAGTTTCCCTGGATAGAAAAAAACAGAAGGAAAAGAAGGTATTAAATGTATATGATTTTCCAAAGATAAAGGAACTGGACTTTAAGAAATTAAAAGGATGTACATATGATATAAATTCATAAAATTTTCAAATTTGGAAGTATTAATCAATACTTCCCAAATTTGATTTGCAATCTTCTCTTTTCTATGCAGTTAATAAAATCATAATTTTCATCCAAAGTTGTAACATCCACTTACAACTGTGGAGTTTTTATCAACCCTTTTATCTATATTTATCTGTATTTCCTACATATAAATTAGTCTTTACGTCTAAAATATTTCTTGTGAGGGCCGGGGATTTAGCTTAGTGGTTCTGCTGCCTGCCTCGTAAGCACAAGGACCTGAGTTCGATCCCTGGTACCAAAAAAAAAAAAAAAAAATTTCTTGCACTTGGTTCTTTTGTTCTGATAGTGACTACCCCTGTATTAGGACCTCATTATGTCTCACCTATTCTAATTCTAATTGACATCTCGCCCCACTAGTATTCCTTCATCAGATTTACTACTCATATATACTACTACCATGGTGATTTTTTTTTTTAATTAAAAAAAAAGCACAGGGCCGGGGATTTAGCTCAATGGTTTGGTGGCCTGCCTCGCAAGTGCAAGGACCCGAGTTCGATCCACGGTACCAAAAAGAAAAAAACAAAAAACAAACAAACAAACAAAAAAAACAAAAAAAACCACAACTCTGACATAAACTCCTCTTTAAAAAACCTAAGGTCTTGTGGGTAGGATGCTAGCACTCTATCATTCAGCTAAACCTCTAGCCCCATCTCTGCCTTTAAAGACTAGTCCATTTCCTGCAGAGATAAATTCAATTTTTAAAAATTTTGAAATGCGCTATGGTCTTGAACTATGTATCCCAGGCTGGCCCTGAACTCGTGGTGATCCTCCTATCTCAGCCTCCTAAGTGCTGGGATTACAGGTTTGTACTACTATAACCAAACTCTACAAATACTTTTAAACTGGCCATTTCCCATTTTTTTACATACCTTTCTTTCCAGGTTTATTTTCCAATAGTCTTCAGACACTAGAAAACCCACCTATTTCCTCAAAGTTATTCTGTGCTGTTATTCCTCCTTGATCTTTCATCTACATTATTTCCTCTTCCTAAATATAAAACACTGTTTCTGGGCTGGGGATTAGCTCAGTGGGTTGGCGCATGCCTCACAAGCACAAAGACCCGAGTTCAATCCCTGATACCAAAAAAAAAAAACAAACCCCAAAAAACATTGTTTCTATTCAAATGTCAAAGTCTATCTAACTCAACTACTTTTATTTGAACGATTCTCTGCCTTTAAATATTTATTTAGTTTAATAATTTCTTTAAATTTTTCTATTAATACAAATTTGCTGTATATGATTACATTCACCATGGGGAGTTGGCACACATACATAACATTTTAATTTTTTACTTCCCTTTCCCTTCTATTTACTCCCTTTTCCCTCTATCTTTTTGTTCTCTTCTTGTCTGCAAGCTCCCTGTTTCCTATTATCTATCTTTTATCTTGTTTTTTATATTATACTTTGGGATTCTCATATAAAAGAAATAAGAAGACTTGTGATACTGAAGTTTGTATATCTGATATACTTAACACTGTCTCAAAGGGCATCGATTTTTTCTACAAATAACTCAAATTTATTCTTCTTTACGGCATGCTAGTACTCCATCATCTACTGCCTTTTAAGGTGTTTGTTTTTGTTTCATCTTTTCTTTGCCATATTATAAACCCTGTTATTAAACCCAAATTATTAAAAAAATAAAAACCAGGCATAGTTTCTACCATAGTGTTCTATAAATAATGTAGGCTAAATGTGTGTAGAATTTGTTGACTTAGTGAAAGCCTCTGAGTATGAAAAAAAAAAAATGAACTAGTCCAAAGACCAGAATGTTTTTAGAAGCAGGAACAACAAATCTCTGGAATCAGTGCCGAAAGAGCTTTTACTGGCAGATGGCAGACACTGCAGCGATCTAAACGTTATCAATATCTGAAGAGGTCTTGCCCTTTCCTGTGGAAATGGTTTATTCTGAATAGTTCCATTTGCTGCTTTAAGTATAACCTTGAGAATCCAGCCACATTTCATCCTCTTTTTTTTTTTTGAGACAGGGTCTCACTATGTAGTTGAGACTGATCTGGAATTCACTATGTAGTCCAGGATGGTCTGGAACTCACAGCGATCCTCCTGCCTTAGCCTCCCGAGTGCTGGGATTACAGACGTGAGCTACCACGCCTGGCCATTCCGTCCTCTTATCCCCAAAGCCTCCTTCTCTTCTAAGCAGAAATGAGGATAGGTATCATGAAACCAGAGTTGTTTTATAGTTTGCACCGGGGAGGCAAGAACCACTTTGTAAACTTGCAGAGCAACTCTGCATCTAACACACCCTTGAGAATGAGGTTAAGGCAACAGATTTTCTGTGCAAGATCTAGTATGTTTTGAAATGGGCTGGGTGGGTATCTTAGAAGAAACCTAGTTCTCTTCCTAGCTCAACTTTCTCAGCTGCTTAGGCCTAGGCATAATTCTCCGGGAGGTTGGTTTCCTTGAAGGAAACTTGGTACTTGTGCAGATGTTTAAGTCCAATTTACTAATAGCAGGGGCTAACTGGAATAAAGTCAGTATAGCTTTACTTTGTTACCTCCTGCTTCATGCAAATAAAGTTTCACTAGATGGCACTGTAGTGTTACTGGTGATGAGTTTTGCGGCTACTACAGAGATCTGTGGTCTACCATCAACAATTACTGTTCTTTTTTTTGTATATGTTTGCAGTACATAATGATAACATTCATTGGAAGGGGGTAGGTACATGTACATAACCTAATTCTTTTAATTTTCCTTCACCACTAGATTTCCTTTCCATTTGTAAAAGATCTCTCTGTTTTCTGTTGTCTACCTTTTATTTTGCTTTTCAAATTATTTATACATTGGGTTTTTCATATAAGAGAAGTCATGCAATATTTGAGCTTGTGTGTCTGATTTATTTTACTTAATATTATGGTCTCAAGATACATCCATTTTCCTACAAAGGACTCAGATTTACCCTTTATGGTAGAGTAGTAACTGTATATAAATATCATATTTTCTTTCTGCACTCATTTGTTGATAGATATATAGATTATTTCCAAGACTTAGCTATTATGAGTTGTGCTGCTGTAAACATGGATTTTCGTGTATTGCTGTAGTATGATTATCTTTAACTCTTTCAGGAAAATATCTAGAAGAGATATTGAATGGGATTTCTAATTTTAGTTTTTTGAGGTATCTCTATACTGATTTCCACAGTGGTTATACTAATTTACATTCCCATCCACAATGCAGAAGGGTGCCTTTTCTCTCACATCCTTTCCAGTATTTGTTATTGTTTTTGACTTCTTTCTTTTTCGTTTTGTTGTTTTGGTTTTGTTTTTTGAGACAGGGTCTCACTATGTAGTTGAGACTGACCAGGAACTCACTATGCAGCCCAGGCTGGTCTCGAACTCACGATCCTCCTGCCTCAGCCTCCCGAGTGCTGGGATTACAGGCATGCGCCACCACACCCAGCTCGGAGGCAGAGTCTCGCTATGAAGTTTAGGCTGGTCTTGAACTCATCATGGTGATCCTCCTGCTTCAGCCTCCTGAGTGGTGGGATTATAAGCATGTGCTACCATTCCTAGCTTTATTTTTAGATTTCTTGTTGACAGCCATTCTTTTTGGAGTGAGACAGAATCTCAATGTCATTTTATTTTGCATTTCTTTGATGGCCAGAGAAGGTGAATATTTTTAATGTATTTATTGATCACTTGTATTTCTGAGAAGTGTCTATTCATTTCAGTTGCCTTTTTTATTGGACCTTTTGTTTTTTGGGGGATCTGATTTTATATATTCATATGTTCTAGATATTTGAGAAGTAGATGGAAATTTTTTTCTCATTTTGTAGATTACCTCTTCACTCTGGCAGTATCTTCTGCTGTGAGAAGCGTTAAAATTTTATATAATCACATTTGTTGATTTTTTTATATAAACAATCACTGTTTTGTACAGGTGACTAAGGTAATAGCACTAATAGAAGCCTGCAATGCTCTTTGAAGGTGGATCGCTATAGGAAAAAAAGTTCATCAAGCTCATATAATAACATTTCCTTTAACTTATTTCCCATTCCAAGAACTTGGGGGATATTGGTAAGTGTCAAAAGGAACTTATTTTAACAGCCTCATAATAATATCCTGATTCCCCAAATAGAGTCCCACTGTTAACAGGTGTCTTAACTTCGCTTTGTTGTCTTTGGATTCAAGAAAAATATGAGTTGTATAGGTTTACAAAAGAATTGAGAAAGTAAAAAATCCCTGGAAGATGAACAATTATTGAATGTACATTTAAAAATTAAAGTTTGAAGATTACTAAGTTGATTGAAAGAGTTCAGAACATGTTAACTTGATTTAAATACCTCAGGACATAAGGAAATGAAAAATTTCAAAGATGGAAGGATTCCGCTGTACATAAGTGGACAGGAGACAACCTTTTAATTTCTAATCAACTAGATTAATAATATTTATTCTTAATATCTCCTGGAGTCTACTGCTAGAAATCATAGGTAATTATGGGCACTGACTGCCCAGAGCTCATATTCCAGGACTGACCTTGTGCAAGTAGAAAGTCAACGGTTCCCAGGTGGCCTTCAGAAGCAGCCATCATTAGGGGAGTGCGGCCTTGCTTATCTGCCATATTGACATCAGCTCCATGGGTGAGCAGAAGATCAACAATCTGAAAGTGGAGAGAAACAGGGACCAGTTTGCTCAAGGAAGTCTGCTGAAAAGACATGCTGGTCAGGTACAGGTACTTCTGCTGTATAGGAGTACTTCTATAAGTAGCTTTCTATTGTAAGTATCTGCATGCTCCCAGTGCCATGTGGACCCTAATAATCTCTAATTATCTTAGAGATAGTAAAATGAGGATTCATCTCTGAATATCTGCCTGAGCCACTAAGAAGAAAAAAAGAAGAAAGAAAAAAAGTAAAGATGTAATTAAACATTATAATGGAAGCTCCAACACAAGTCACTGCCATTTTATTGTCAGTGACATTTTATTAACCTCGAAGGAGCTACAGGCTTGCCTGTAACAGTGAATATTTACCACTGGAGTGACTACAGAAAAGTGCCTCTGATACCTCTTTAGCATGTTTTCTAGAGTCTTCTTTTTCCTAGTCAAATACTTTTAAAGATTATTATCAGTATGCTTTCTTTTTCATCCCAAATATAGAGATTAGCGTTTGTAATCCAAACATCTGGAAAGATCACAAAACTAGAATGTGCATGTACTACATTTTCTTTTAGCAAGACTGAGACACTACCAGTGAATGGTTAACAGGGACATGAACTTTTCACTGAGCTTGTGGATACCGTGAAATGTGAGAATGAGGTTACTTTGAGATAAGGACAAAGGCAGGTCATCAATCTAGATCACAATGATGGTTTCGAACATTAATTTTTCTTTTTCTTTTTGGTACTGGGGATTAAACTCAGGGCATTAAGCCCAACCGTAGTGCCACTAAGCTAAATCCCCAGCCCTTGCTGAATGTTAATTTTTTATCACCTTCTTAAGAAGAATATAACAAAAGCCCAAGTCCTCAAACCTGATGGCTTCTAGGTAACCAAAATTTATGATCTTTTTACTCTTTGCATCAGAATTTCGACCTGGAACTCATTCATGCTTGAGGAGCTGGAAGTTACTACCTGCTTACCTGCCAGTGGCCCTGGCGAACAGTGCTAAATAGGGGCACCGCCCCTCGGCGGTTTGGCTGGGCCACTGCAGCACCTTGTTCCAAGAGCAGACGGCACACCTCCAGTTTACCCCTGCCGGCTGCAGCTGTAAGGGCTGAGGGCAGAGAACAAAGACTGAGGTTAGGAGATTCTTGTCCTTTTTGAACCTTAATATTAAGCATGACCTTCAGGTACTTCCAAGTATTTATATAACTGCTAGTTTACCTTCGAAATAGTGATTGTGACTGCCCAGCCAAAGAATTTTTTGTTTTTTGGATACGGGGAATCAAACCCAGGGCCTTTGTATTGAGCTACGTTCTCAGACCTTTTTTATTTTTTGAGATGGAGTCTTGCTAAAGTTGCTGAATTGCTTAGGCTGGGCTCAAACTTATAATCTTTCTGTCTCAGTCTCCCAAAGTGCTGCGATTACTGGTGTACACCACCATACCCTGTGGGAGAATGTTTCTTAGGGCAATAGTAATAATCTACTGAAAAATCATCTTTGTCAAACTCACTTGGTTTTTTTCCTACCCAGATTGTCTTCCCTGCTTTGGCTTACCTCTCTTTTGATGCCTTGTCCTACCTATAAATCTTCTGCTAGTCTATGTGTAAGTGGTATCTAGAGAGAAGAGACTCTGTAGAAATGAAATCTTTTTTTAGAGTTCGCTGGGAACCACCTCTGACTAACTTTTATTCCTGAGCTCTCAAACCCAATGAATCAAAGTCAGAAATTGCAGTCTAAAAGCCCTGGGTGGGCATGTCTTTCTGCTTGCCTGCCTATCTCCCTCCTTTCTTCCTTCCTCATTAACTGAAGTACAAGATTCTCCTATATTTGCAATCATTTTTGTATGAGGATCAGAAGTGCTCAAGATAATAGTCTTGAAGATAAAAAAGTGTGATAAACTATTTTCTTCTGAATATAAAATAAAGGAGATAGCTGGACATGTGTGGTAGGGCATTTTTGTAGTCACAGCATTTTGAGAGGCTGAGGCAGGAGGAGATCAAGTTATAGCCAAGCTTTGGCAACTTAGCAAGACCTTGTCTAAGAAAAAAAATGTGTAAAGGACACAGCAGGAAGAAAAACATTTTATGGTCTTTCATAGAGTGGAATGTCTCTGAGTGTCTCCTGTAGCCTCAGTGTGCTGTTTTAATAGTAGAAAAAGGAATTTGCAGATAGTAAGTCCATCTTTTAACAAATAAGTATTTATTTTATTTATCTAGGAAATTAAAAATGCATAGATTTATTATTCTATAGAATGGATGAAGGGTGGGGAGGATGGAAAACTATTAGATGTCAGGGATTATACTTCATTTTAAAGAAAAGAGTTTTATTTCTTTCCTTAAATTAACTTGGAAAACTGATGTGGGAGACAACAGGTCCTTCCTTCATTATGACCACCTATTCAAATGACAGATCAGAAAATGACAGCATTTGGCAGGTGCAGATATTTCATTTTGTAAATTTTGCAATCTAATAAGAAAAGCCACTGAAATTCAAATCAAATGGTCACTTTATTATTTTTCCATTTAAGTGAAAATTACAGAATCTTGTCTTTGGATTTGGTCTAATTTATCCACAACTGAATCTTATACAAAACTAAAAGTAAAATCACCTATAATTTTCACAAAGATAAATTTTAAAGTAATCTTTTCCTTCCCCAAGGATAAGATGGGCTTACAGCCCATTTGCCCATCAGTTGGAAACTGGATAAAGATGTGGTTTTTCTGTAAAATGGAATACTACTCAGCCATAAAGAATGAGAAATTAGATTCATTCATAGGAAAATGGATACATATTGAGGATAGACTCCTAAGTGAAATATATAAGTCACACGTGTAAATACCGAATAGTTTCTCTGGTGTGAAAAGCTATAATAGTACATAAGGCCCTAATAAGATAATTGACCATGTGAAATAGGAAGAAAAGGGCTAAAGGTGTAGGGAAAATGGGAAGGGTAGGAGAAAGGAAATAAGGGAAAAGAAAAAAATATGAGAAAATGAAAAAATGGAAACAAAGTGTTTGTAAATGGGGAGGGGAAGAGGAGGTGAAGGGAGGGCAGGGACAAGGGGAAAAAAATGAGAACCAAGACCTGTCCTGTAAAGGTACAAGATCCCAATAATGGACATAATTGTACTATATACCTAAAATGTACCAATAAACTCAATAAAAGAAGGGAAAAGAAAAAAATATGAGAAAATGAAAAAATGGAAACAAAGTGTTTGTAAATGGGGAGGGGAAGAGGAGGTGAAGGGAGGGCAGGGACAAGGGGAAAAAAATGAGAACCAAGACCTGTCCTGTAAAGGTACAAGATCCCAATAATGAACATAATTGTACTATATACCTAAAATGTACCAATAAACTCAATAAAAGAAAAAAAAATAAAAAAAAATAAGATGGGCTTATGAAGGGTGATAGTTTTCCATGATTTATGTACTCTTAAGCCAGGTTTATGACTTGTGTGTTTTAAATTTTTATTTCAGAATTGATACTGGGTTGCCTGCCTTGTCAGTGTAAGGTCCCGAGTTTGATCCCCGGTAGCAAAAAAAAAAATTGACACTGGTATTTCTGTTCAGTTCCTCACAGAAGGCTTGGTCTTATCTAAGGGTGAAAATCATTTTCAAGCTCTGAATGAATGAGCACACGTGTTAATGGCTGTAATTATTTACTTGACAAAGAAGTTTTGTCCTGATCCTTTTAAATACATGGGATCTTCTTTATTTCCCAAGTTTGTATTTCCAACTGTTCAGGAAAAAACCTCATGTATATATAGGGTGGAACACCAGAGTGGTTTAAGAAGCTGTCAGATATAGATCTGGACATCATAAGAATCCTTTTATAGTACATTAAACAAACTACTCCTTTGTTCTGATCCCATTTAAAGTAGCTACTAGGTGATAGGGTTGCTGCAAGCGTCCTTATGTGTGCATTATTTTTCATCAAAGAATCTACAGCACCCCGGAGAAAAAAAAAGATATTTCAGAATCAAGCCTCTTATTAGTTAGTGATGCCAGTTCACAGAACATGTTTGCATATTCACAGCCAGTGCTCTTCTGCAAAGTTATACTGTTTACTCCAGCAGTTACATTTCTCTAGTTGGCCCATTTCTCTCTGTTGAATACACATTTTTTTGGGAGGGAATGTTCCATTTGGCATTTTTCTTTGTTGTATTATCTCTGCTGCTTAAGTTATGATGTCATTTGGCAGCAAATTTCAGTCGATAGCTAGACATGGTCATTAACACAGCTGGCCAATTTAAACTCAAAAAAATACAACTATGTAAAGCAGAGTTTGGACTTTTCAAATTCCAAGAGCAAGACTTGCTTTGGTTGGATTTTTATGAGTCTTATCAAAAACTGTTAGAACTTTTTTGAAAGAAAGATTAAGGTAAAGTCAGGTCTGTAAAGTTAACAAACTGATTCTTAGAGCAAATATAGCAATCAGGAGCAAAGTCTTGTTCCAAGGACCAGAAAAAGAATTTGTTCCCTAGCTTGTCAGAAGCCAGTAAGATTATTTGACATAAATGTTTTTTCCCTCAAAGGGAAACAGCTAAAGAGTTTAAAGTGGCAGAGATGATGCAGCTCAGAGTTGGAGAAATACTCAAAGTTGGTTGGATGGGATGCAGAGAAGTAATGACTCTTTTATCTATTTTCAACCTGGAAAGAGTACACCATGTTAAGATGAATGGTAGCAAGGTGGCTGGGAGACATAAACTGATTATTGCTACCCAAAGCATTAGTTAAACATTTATTGAGCTATTTGTCAGACACTGTTTCTGATCTCAACAAACCTATGGTTGAATAAGAAAAACAGATAATGCATTAGTATGCAGGGTGGTAAGCACAACAGAGATAAGTCTGTGGTATGGGAGTGGTGAAGGAAAAGTATCTGAAAAGGCCTTCAGGAAGAAAAGATAATCTGAGGTAGATAAAGAACGATAAATAAGAGACTTACAGGTATGGGAGGACGTGAGGTATGCTGAGATGGCACTGAAACAACATTATAGGAAATAACATTATGTTGTTTTTAAATTGGAATTACTGGAGAAGATAGGCAATAGATGAGCCTGGAGATCATGCCTGTTTTTTTTTAAATGCTATATTAATTCTACAAGTAGTAAAAAAAGCCAGCTGACATTTTAATTTCTTAAAATTTTGAGATAGTACATACATATGAAAATTAAGAAAATATTTTTTAAAATCCAAGGCCACAAGGTTTTATTCTAATATCTAATTCATATTAATAAAAATAGTCCTCTGTTTAGTTTATTCTCTTCTTGAAGCTTTTTAAGGATTTCTTTCAAGTATAACACTAGAATGTTATATTTGGTATAATGACTACTAACTTTGTAATTTCTAGTCATGATCATCATTGGGCCATGATTTTTCTTTCTGCCACCCTCAGTGGTTATATGTCCATGTTGTGGGCAAAAGAGATCTACTGGGAGGTATGGCAACACTATATTGGGAAAGGCTGTGCTGACAGGAAAAGTAAGGCAACACATTCTTTCTATAGCTCGGGTCACATATGGATACTTCAAAACTGCTGATGTCTTGGTCATTCCCTTCCCCAAAGCCTGTCCTCTAGCTTCTCTTTTTTAAAATTTTTATTTATTTATTTTTTAAGCTTCTCTTAAGAGTGGTGTTCCAGAGACAACAGCTGTTTCCAGCTGCACATTTTCCTTTACTCTTAAGCTGCAGCTGCCTGGCATCTGCTTCCTTTGGCTCTTACAGAGGGAGGAATTGTTTGAGCAGCAAATTCCTGAGCTTTGGACCATGCCATGTGATATTGTTAAAGTCACGAAACCTAAATGAAATTTTGTCATGGGAAAAAATATCATAATTCAATAGGTTGTTATAAATTTTAAATGAATTCAAGAATCTTATTTTTAGTAACATTCTTACTCTAAGCAAAATGTACATCTTTCTTTTTTAGTAGAATACTTCCCCTAAATTATCCATCCAAGTATTGTTCTATTTATCTTGGCAAATATGACACATATCTGTGGTTACTCAACCATTTTCCTGGTCTAGAATTCATAAAAACACATCAAAGATTACTAATGTTTCTCCAGATGCTCTATTTTAGACTTGGAGGAAAGACAATAATCATTTCCTGAAAAGGTCACAAGGAAGAGCCTTCTATCTGGCAGTGAGTACCAGTGGCTTGTGAGGTTTGGAAGATACCTGGGTCATCCAGGTATCGCTAAGTATTTTGCAGAGAATACCAAATGATTCAGAAATTGCTTTGTTATAAACCCAAGGGGAATTGCATGGGGCTGGGCTTTAACTGGGTGGTACCTTCATTTTGCATAGAGGCAGCAACTTTACTTATAATGTAAAGCTCAACTGTGTCAGCTATCACTCTACCAAGATGTCATGTTAAAACAGATGTGGCTGGAAGTGTGGCTCAGTGGTAGAGCACCTGTCTGGGATTTATGAGGTCCTGCCTGGGTTCAACCTCAGAGGGATAAAAATGTAACCTCCTGGCTTACAGCTATAGGCGGACAAAATGATTTTAATGGGAAAAATACTACAAAAATCACGTTAAAAAGAGAAAGGCCACAACTGTTTTCTGCTCTGCTTTGGCACACTGTAAGCAAACTTTCAGTCTTTTGAAAATATCTGGAAACAAGAGTGGGGAAAGAAAGGTTTTGTTTGAAACTGCGAATGGTATACAGAATCCAAAGGGAAATGGACTAAAAAAGGGAAATTTCCCGACTTGGGCTACATCAGTCTCAAAAACAAAAGTCCTGGGCTGGGGATTTAGCTCAGTGGTTCTGGCAACTGCCTCATTAGTGCAAGGACCTGAGTTCAATCCCAGGTACGGGGGTGGGGGAAGAAAACGAAAGTCCTAAAACAGAAGAGTATCAAGAGTATCAAAGGTATGGGGGGGCAGGGGGGAGATGAAGGTATGAGATTCAGAGTCCACATAAATACAACATAACACATGAGAGGGCAATGTCCATGAGAAGTACCTGTCTCTCCCCAGAGACTGTCAAAGCTGTTGATCTGTGCTCGCTCCACTTCTTCTTCATCTTTTTCTGGAAGATCAAGTAGGTAGGAGACAATCTGAAACAAGAAGTTGTGTTAGCTCAAACTTGACATGGAAAACTATGTTACTATATTGCTGCTTGTGAGGTCTGGAAGATGTTTTGGTAATCCAAGTTATCACTACGTATCCCGCATATAAAAGGAATCAGAACTCATTGTCTTAGCACAGAAACTCAAAATTGCCCTGATAAGCATCTATTCTATCAGTTTATATGTTTCTTTTGAGCATAATTCACTTTTTTTTTTTTTTTTTTTTTGTACGGGGATTGAACTCGGGACCTTGCACTTGTGAGGCAGGTGGTGGAACCACTGAGCTAAATCCCCAGCCCGGTGTGTGATTTTTTAAAAACTACATATTTCTTCTATTAAGGTTAGAGACATTCTTTTATCCTTCCAATAAGGCTGCAATGGAAAAAATTGAGGGCCTATATATCTTCTGAGTAGAATGATTATTCTTTTTTCTCTCAGAAGAATGACTGTTTGGGTCTAGCATAGGGACAACGGCTGCTAACCACAAAGAGAAAGTATTGTTCTATTTCCAGGAATTTTGACTGGACAGTGTTAAAAAGTCTTCTATAGAATGTAAAGATTTCAATTGTATTCAACATTCTCTTGGTGACATACCACATCAGTTGACAGGGTAGCTATTTCACTGAGCATCCTATGCAGTAGTAGGGAGCTGGTTTGCAGTGGCCCATAAGAGCTAACTGCGACATTTCAGAAATTTTGTAAGTCAGCTGTTAAATAAAACCAATTATTTATTAAAAATTAAATAATACTAAAGTAAATTACATTAAAAAACAAGGTAGAGCTGGGCATGGTGGCGTATGTCTATAATCCCAGCACTCAGGAGGCTGAGGCATGAGGATCGCTCTGAGTTTGAGATCAGTCTGGGCTACACAGTGAGTTCCAGGTCAGGCTCAAGTACATAGTGAGACCCTGTCTCAAAGCACCCCCCCCCAAAAAAAACAAGGTAGAAAAGTACTCAAATTTGAGCTGGAGATGTAGCTCAGTGGTAGGGACCTTGTTTAGCATGTAAGAAGCCCTGGCTTTGATCCCCAGCACTAGAAAAAATAAACAAAACTCCCTCAAATCTCATAACTGCCTAGTTATTCAACTACATTTTCTTACTATCTATGCTACTGAGGTTATATTTATTGTGTCTATAGAGTGGAAATATTACATAATGGCTTCTACCTTTGTGTTCAATGATTATCATAGTTGAAATTGGCCATGGTGGGAATATTTATACCCTAGAAGTAGGCAAACAGCGTAAATCAGTGTTGCCTTAGAGATAAAGCTAAAGCTTCAGTTCAAAAATATATGTACATAAAAATTACAAGTGGTTTAGCAATACATTACATATTGCATTTAAAGGCAGTAAAATTATTGGGAAAAGAGCAAAATGGGACATAACTCCATGTGTCAAATCATGGTTTGGTTGCAACCAAAGGTTAGCCACAGGTACAAATTTGGTAAAAATTGATGGACTAGTTGAGTAAGAATACTTTGTATTTTATTATTTGTGAAGTGTGCAACATATTTTTTTTGTTTTGTTTTGTTTTTTGCTTTTGGTACCAGGATCGAACTCGGGTCCTTGTGCTTGCAAGGCAGGCTGCAGAACCACTAAGCTAAATCCCCGGCCTCATATTTTTTAGATTAGTAAAATTTATAAACACACACACACACACACACACACACACACACCCTACCTGTTCCACTCTGCTCCCCTCCCCAGGGTCAACTGTTAAACATTTTACACATTCGCCACTATTACTATTATTATTATTAATAAATAACATTACTATTATTAATAAATAAATTAGCAAAAATACCATTTGTGTAGTGTTTAATTGTGTACAAAGCACCTTTCTCAACAGCTTGTAAAAAAAGAATTTAATAACTTCACTCTACAGATAGGAAACTAAGGTTCTAAGAGATTAGGTAAATCACCCAAGATCTAGATTTAATTAGCAGCAAAGCTAGGACCAAAACCTGAGCCTTCTGAGGTTTTTCACTTTGTATTATTCCCTTTCCATATTGTCTAACCATGTGACAATAACTAATCCATCTGTGGTTCAGTGTCATTGGTAAATATGGGTGGGAATATGGGGAGGGATTAGATTAGATAACTTCCAAGTTCCTTTCCAACTCTCCTGTTCTATGCCCACAATTCTAGGTACCTTAGCATGTGAGTAGTCAAGCGCCTAATGGACTTTAATCTCTTTATTCCTCAGAGTAGTATTAATTTACATGGTAATTTTGTAACAGGTATGCCTTTTCTCCCAGTTTTCTAGGTCCTTAAATACACACTATCCCGCCTTCTTTTTCTTCTTACCTCAGTGTAACCCATGCTAGCTGCAGCAATGAGGGCCTGCTGGATGGCATGGCTCTTCTTAAACACTCCTTGCTGCTGGCCAGCCATTGTCCAGTCACACTGAATCAAAAATTTTACAACCTCTAGATGACCTCGGAGTGCAGCATGAACCAAGGCACACTGCCCATTCTTATCCAAGTGATCCACCTAAGGAGACAGAACAACAACATCTGTGTTAACCTGGACCTGTGGCTGTACCCTCAATCAGTTCAATGCACATGTCTAGACTAGTAATGTTCATCCACTGCCATTTGGTAAAACAATCTTTGAGGGAAATTACAAGATATTCTATTTGGGCTAGATCATGTCACAGTTCTGCTAGATGTCTCTCTGGGGAGAACTTCATTTCTCTAGAAAAGGTCAGATTTTTGTTTTCACATTAAAAGAAAAAAAATTCCTCAGCTCAAGCTGTTTTCCTCAGGTACATTCTACTTTGTGAACAAATAGTTCTTTTCAGACCGAGATTTGAGAGACTTATAACTCTGCTCACACAGAAACTGGTCTTTGAAATTATGAAAAGGGGAAAAAAATTTGGAGCTCCATTTTTTTTTTTATTCCAAAATAAGCAAACTATTATCATAAATCACTCACTTGACAATCAAGCTTTGGCAAAGGCCATTTCTCTCTTTCAGAAGGGAAGACTCTCAAAGATCTGGCCCAAATGGCTATAGGCATTTGGAGTTTAATTCTAGACTAAGCTCTAATAATAGGTTTTCTAATTTCAGTGGTGGTTATAAGTTTAAGCTGAAAAAAGAGACCAAGATCAATTTACCAGAAGGCCCTTAGCCATAAGTTTCAATGCATGAAAAAACTTTTTCTAGGAAGAATATGTTATCTGTCTGTGGTAGTGAGAGCACTTAAAAATCTAAGTTCTAGAATGTCTGCTTCTCCCACTGACTTTGGTTTCACCCAGCAACCCATATGACAAAGGTTTAATGAATGTACAATGTGCCAAAGGCGAATAACACAGTAATATACAGATTTTGCTTTCAAGAAATTTTAAATGTACTGTAAGATATGACCAATGTAACAAAGTACTATCCAAACAATGAAGGATATATGATAAATGTCACAAGAAAAGAAAAGTACAATAAAATTCCAAAGAAAGGAAAAATTAATTCCTGACTTAAAATTAAGAACAAATTCAGAAAGTTTATTCCACTTCAACTGGCTGACATAGGAAATTAAACTTATTCTAGTTTTTTCAAGGGTAAGGTGCAGCCATGTTTTGCAATGCTAGACTAAATGGTTTGAATTTCACCAGTAGGTGGTAAAGAGTTATTGCAAATCTTCATGCTCTTAACTGCATTTTCAAAAAGTAAGGGGATGAATAAAAGAAATCACAACTCCTTGGAGAAATCAATGATTCCAAGGCTGGGGCAGTAATAGGAAGAGATGATTCTGGACCATCTTGTGGTGCAAGGAAAGAAGAAAGTTACTCCACAATAGTAGGGGAAGTTGAAAGGACACAAGAGCCAATGACTAAATCTGAGGTAATCTGTACAATAAAATGAAAACTAATGGCAATTGTTTACAGGCCTTAAGATAAAATAAATATCTATTATTTCATAGTGTTATAAATTGAACAAATAAATACATAATGAGAAGAGAAAGCTTTTCCTTCAGTGAAATTACAACTAATAAATGTTGAAGGAATGAAAATAGAAAGTCATCATTAGACAAATACCACAGCAATATTATTGAAGCAAGAATCATTGATGAATCCTAAAATAAAGGTATGTATCTACTTAGTCTCAAATCATCCACCTGAAAGATACAGTATTTCTTAATTGTAAAGGGAAAAACAATAATCTGAGTTGAAATCTGGAAGACTATCTTAACTAAGTGATTGAAGTTAACAACATCTATAATAAGACATATTTATCTTATGAACCTCAAGTGCTGCATTTCAATAATGATACAGTATTACTTATGTAGCCTTGACAAAAATATATAAACTTGATCTAAAGTCTATAAGAAAATATTGGACAAATTTAAAAACTTCCAAGAAAACTGGCCTGTCTTTTTCAAATTTGTCAAGAATATAAAAGACAAAGGAAAATCAAGAAATTCACAAAAAGAAGGAAACTAAGGAGACACAACTAAATGTAATGTGGAATCCTAAATTGGCTCTTGTAACAGAAAAAGGACATAAGCAGGACAATTGGGAAAATTTCCATAAAGTGTGCAGATTAGTTAATAGTACTACATCAATATTAATTTTCTGCTTTTTATAACTGGACTATGGTTACTCAAGCTGTTACCATTAGGTGGAGGATATAGGAGAACTCTCTAGACTATTTTTACAATATTTTTCAATGTCTTGAATTGTTTCAAAAATAAAAGGTTTACAGATATTAAAGGAATGATGTGTAACAACATAAGGTTAGAATCTGAAAAGGGAGGCAGTTAGGAATGTAACAAAAGAATTTCCAGGAACTAGTAATTTTGAATTAATACTCACCCAAATGTAGTTGGGAGAGCTCAAGTCTGGTTGTATTTGATTCCAAAATCTATGATTTTATTTTATTTTATTTTTTTGGTTTTTTGAGACAGGGTCTCACTATGTAGTTGAGACTGACCTGGAACTCACTATGTAGTCCAGGCTGGTCTCAAACTCAGAGCGATCCTCCTGCCTCAGCCTCCTGAGTGCTGGGATTACAGGCATACACCACCACACCCAGCCCAAACCTATGATTTTAATGTGATCTTCCTGCCTCAGCCTCCTGAGTAGCTGGAATTATAGGTGTGAACCACCACGGCAGGCAGGCTTTAATTCTTTTTTTTGGTACCAGGGATTGAACTGGGACCTTGCACATGAGAGGCAGATGGTGGCACCACTGACCTAAACCCCCAGCCTAAGGCCTTTATTATTTTTATAGATGAAAAAGATTGAAAGAGGTTTAATAACTTTTCTTTATATGAAGTAAGTGTGCACTTAACCCAGTTGTGTATTTGACCCACCTGTATTTGTTTTTTGTTGTTGTTGTTTTGTTTTTGCTACCAGGGATTGAACTTGGGACCTTGTGCTTGCAAGGCAGGCAGCAGAACCACTGAGCTTAAATCCCTGGTAACCTGCTTGTTTGATTCCAAAGCTTTTGACTTTAAAGATTTGCTTCCTTTCTTTCTCAAGAAAGTCACACTGAAAGTGGTTAAGGAACCCTAAGGAAGCAGAGGTAGTAAGTAGAGGTGACAGGTCTGGTGGACAAGGAAGGGAAAATGGGATGGAGCCTCTGGTGGGCAGCAGAGGAGGGTTTCTCTGTTGGGTCAGGGGAGACATTCATAGGTTTCTAGAAATCGAGAGGGGGAGTGTAGTATGACTTTAGAAAAGGAATGAAGTAATGTGAGTCAAAGAGCAACTTACTGAGATCAAGAATAGAGGTGGGAGCAATCGCTTTGAAGAGTAAGGCAAATACCTTCTTTGAGACAGAAGTACAAGTGAGAGTATGTAATGACAAGTAGAGTTCTGAGATAGAGATACACTGAAATGAATTCAATTTTACTAATGCAGGAGGGTGGAAGAGGTGGGATGGTATTTTGAGAAGAGTGGAAATAATTTATATATCTGCTCTGAGGAACCAATGAAAGATGAATAAAATAATGATTTGGCAGTGTAAGGGCTGACCAGCAGAAAAGACACAGCTGAGATTTGAATTTACAGTAAAAGTAATAATGTTATGACCAATTATTTTCTTTCTAGAAGTGTCCAGTCAAACAAATGGATGTTATTATAGGTGGACAATTGCTGTGTCATTGTGAACACCCTAGGCTCTGCAATTTCACGTCTCAGGACTCAGCTCCCAAAGGAGTCTCAGGACTCCCATTTTCTCCCCTGGTAAGAGCACTGGACACCTCAGAATGAGATCACACATGTTACATGTATTTTACTGTGAAACTGACATCCTCAGTTTGCTTTCAGGACTGAATCAAAATACTATAAGCCATGATTTCCCTCAGAAACTTGTATTTGTGGGAAGTGAGAATTCTACCACCGAACCACCAAAGCTAACTGAGAACCTTGTGTTTGTGAAGCTAGTATTTTTCTTTTCTGAAGTTGAGTTCTTTTATAAAAATGGCTCTGGAGATACCATAAAGCAAACATTTTGGAAATGTTTTCAGCGAACTGAAATGCATTAACAAACACTTTGAGATGCCCTTGTTCAATCTGAGTATAGATAGGGAGAATCATCTTTTCCACAAATTTCTAGGATGGTGATCTTCAAGGACAGAATGAGGAGATCTGGTCTTCTCTCAACTACTTGGTAACATTTCTTTTCTTCATTTGAAAGACTTAAGAGTCTGCAGGAGCTGTTCAGTTCAGATCACCCACTGCAATCTCCTCATCCCCTCACTCTTCCTTCTCTCTCTCTGTTAGAAAGGGGCTGCTTTTGAGGTCAGTAGAGAATTTCTAGGTTGTCTAGTAGGGATGTTTTGTGGTTGCAGATAAATATACTTTCCCAAGTGCCTCTCAAAGATTAGTTGTGTCCAGATGCAGTGTGGACTGGCCCTGTCAAGTGGGCAAACACTGGGATGTAAGCAGAGCCAGCTTTCCTTTTTGTCTGTTCCCCCCATCAGGGTTTAATGTAACCAGTCTCCTGAGGTAACTCAGGATTTAAGAAAGAGTTTACATAAGGAAGGAAGAAAAAGGGAAGAAAGGAATAGTAGTAGAGGTGGACAGCCATTACCTTGGCCCGTTTCTTGCACAGTAGCACCACAATGCTCAGGAACCCTGCTGCTGCAGCATACCCCAGAGGAGTCAGGCCGCTTTCAGATGAGGCATCCACGTTGGCCCCAAACTCTAAAAGCAGGGCCACCATTTCTGTATAACCAAGATGAGACTGAACACATAGAATTGGAGCATTATTTAAAACCTCTGTCCGGTAATTAATATTGGCACCTCCCAAAATCAACAGTCGGCTGACCTAGAAATAAATAGAAATAATACTCAGACAAACATCAGGCACATTCTTTTAGCTTTTTTTAAAAAAATTAAATCACCCCAGATCCTACAAGTGTCTAGAAACATTTAGTAACTTCTACTTTATATTCTCTATTTGTTCCTTTTTCAATACAGGTACTTTTGTTTTTAGAAAGGAATGTAAAAAATCTTTACATAAACTGCTAAGTAGGTGGAGCAAATGCTACCTATATTCTAGAGCTGAACATTATCTCTACTAATCAAATTCTTGATCAGAAAATCTCCTTCCAAAACAAAGGCTAGCTGAGATCAATTTAGTCTCTAGAACTACCAAGGCCTGATCCCATATGTCAGAGTCAGCTGACACAGAAGCAGAAGGAAAACAGGGTCAGTTTCCAACTCATAGAATAAGATATTACAATTTAAAATATATTGTTATCAGTAAAAGGCTATTTAATATGGGACAGGCTAAGGCAAATCAGCAACTAAATAGTCACTCATTGTTCTTCTGGTTTTATTTATTTATTTATTTTTGGTTTTTGAGACAGGGTCTCACTATGTAGTTGAGACTGATCTAGAATTCACTGTGTAGCCCAGGCTGGTCTCGAACTCAACAACGATCCTTCTGCCTCAGCCTCCTGAGTGCTGGGATTACAGGCATGCACCACCATGCCCGGCAACTTCTAGTTTTATTTTTTTAGTTAATTCTTTAATCCACTTGTACTTCCTTTGTGTTTACCTTTATATTTGGAGTGTAGAGATTTCGTAAAGATGCCAATGCCATGGAAAGACCTTCTGTGCTATAGGAGATCCAGAGACCTTGGAGGATGGAGGATGATACACCAACTTTTTTACTCAAACCCTGAAAAAGAAATTTAGGGAGAATTATTAGGCCTGCTAAAAAGCATCGCAAGTAGTAAGTTAACGGTCTCTACTTTTTTGGTGCTAATTAAAGAGTCTCAACCTTAACAATGGCCATGCCCAGCAAAATCTATTTAATAATGTGGACAGAGACTAGTCCTGTAGGAACAAGATAAATATAATTCAGTAGTCTCTAGTAGTAAATTTACTTAACATCTTTCTTTTTTGCTCTATGTAATTTATTTTTCCATAGCTTTTCTAGTAGCCTTTTGATTAAATCCCTTAAATTCAAGTTACTAAAACATACATTGTGGCAGAGATACTGTGATGTGACCACAGACTATCATTTAAATTTCTTCCCTTGTATTTGAAAAAACTGTATTTTCTAGCCTCCTTTACAGTTAAGTGATCAATGTGACTGAGTTCCGGTTAATAAATTTTGGACAGAAGTAACATGTCATATACAGGGCTGGCCTCAAAACCTCCTGTGAATTTCTGCATACTTTCCATCCTTCTTGACTGCAAGATCTAACAGAGGACTCTTGATGCCCGGGATGATTTCTGACCTACTACACAGAAGGAACTTGTCTGATGATCTGAACTAGAGTGCACTACAGTGAATCTTTAAGTCTTTGAGATTTTGTAGGTTCTTTTTATCTGCTGGCATTCTTCACTCTGACTAACATACCCCAAAACAACCAATTTATTCATCCTTAGGGAAAAAAACCCCACAAACTTGAATGCCATCAGCAACATTTTTTTTTCCCTAGTGTGAATGGCATAGACCTCAACTATATGTATTTACCCCTTTCACAAGGGTTTCTCTAGTAGTAGAATAATTTTTTCTTTAAACTGCGTTAAGATACTCTCTGGCAACCATCTTACTGTTTTGCCAAAATATGGGTCAAGTGAGTTAAAGGCAGGAAATTTTCAGGATAGGAAGATACTAACAAAATTTGGGAACTAGGTGAAACTGGAGAGGTATGTTTTTTGAAGACTTACGCTACTTCTGCTTTTGTTCCTTCAAATGCAGGCTATTTTTGTCCAGAATATCTACATATATCCAAACCAGTGAGGTGTATTTATCTGGCATACTAGGGCAGGGGTGTCTACATAGGAGGAATATTTTAGTTTTTATGAGTTATAGGTTCTTCTAAGAATTAAGTCATAGTGCTCAAGCTCTTCAGGGGCCAAACTCTCTGAATGAAAAAAAAAATTCCTGTTCAGGGAATTCTCACAATACATGAAAGACTGAAAGACAAATAAGCTATGGGAAGGCTGAATGCATTATAAAAAGGCATTTCTGATGGACATCTGTTTTTCCCTGTAAGAATATTCTGATGCAACCAGATTATGTTAAAAATTTTATTTCTAAGAAATGTTCAAAGCAGATCCTTTCCCTACTCCTCATTTCTACATTTAAAAATCAGCTCAGTGGGCTGGAGATTTAGCTCAGTGGTACTGCTGCCTATCTCGGAAGTGCAAGGACTGGAGTTTGATCGCTGCTACCAAAAAAAAAAAAAAAAAAAAAAAAAAAAGTCAGCTTAAGTATTGTAGCAGGACAGTTCAAACTATCTAATGTTATATAGCACTGATTTGTAACATGGTAGTTTTTAAAAGAATCCTTCTAAAGCCAGGGGGAGTGGCACATGTCTGTAATCCCAGTGACTAGGGGGACTGAAGTGGGAGGATCTGAAGTTCAAGACAGCCTTGGCAACTTAGCAAGACACTGTCTCAAAAAGAAAAGGACTGAGGGTTTAGTTTGGTGATAGATGGCTTATGTAGCATGTATGAGGCCCTGTGTTTGCTTCTCAGCACTGCAAAGACAAAACAAATGAAAACAAAAAAGATACACATAAGCTTTGTATTAAGCAAATAATATAAATTTATTAAAAATCAAGTAGTGTAGTATTAAGAATAAAAGTAGCTTCAGTCCCTCATCATAATACTAAGAGATGGCTACTACTAACACACTGGTGCTAATTATTTAATATATTGTCTATACTCACGCAAACATACACATTTATATATAAACAAAGTAAATTATTTTATTAAATATTTTTATTTTATGGAAAATTTCAAACATTTAAAAAAATGAAGAGGAATAGTATAAACATCCTTAATCTAAAAATTTGGAAATTATCCCAAATCTGAAATCCTCTGAGCACTGACATGATGCCAAAGTGGAAAATTCCATACCTAATCTAATGAGATGGGTTGCAGTCACACACAGGCATACTAAAAACATTGTATAAATTTACTTCCAAGCTATGCTTGGAAGTTTGAAAAAATTTAAAGAAATAAAGAGGATTCTGCGTTTAGGATTGGGTCCCATACCTAAAATATCTTAATTTGTAAGTGTAAATAGTCCAAAATCAAAATAAAAACCAACCAAACTATCCAAAATCTAAAACATTTCTGGTCACAAGTATTTTGGATAAGAGGTATTCAACTTCACCTTGTGCATTCACCATCTCACATGAACAATTTTTAACTCATGGCTAATCTTACTTTGTTCTTTCATGCATATTTTTCTTCTGCCATCCTAGATTATTTTGAAGCAAACCCCAGTTTGTCAGCCAATATTTAACTATTTTAGCAAGTGTCTCTAAAAGATAAGAATTCTTTAAAAAACACAGTCCAACATATTAACACACTTATGTTGGGTGTGGTGGCACAAGCTAATAATCCTAGCATTCTGGGAGGCTGAGGCAGGAGGATCACAAGCTTGAATCTAGCCTGAGTAACTTAATACTTAGGGATGAGATGCTGTCTCAAAATGGAAAAATGAAACACTAAGAAAAAGAAAGGGCTGGGAAGTATCTCAGTGTGAAAGCCTTGATTCAATCCTCTATACCAAAAAAAAAAAAAAAAGATTCTGTGAAGTCAAACATCCAGACAAGGTTCAAATTTTGTTTTGTTTTGTTTGTCTTTTGGTACCAGGGATTGAACTTGGGACTCTGTGCTTGCGAGGCAGGTGGCAGAATCACTGAGCTAAATACCCGGTTCAAATTTTGATTGTCTCAACATAAAAAAAAAAAGTTTCAATTTGAGATCTACATCAGGTCGATAAATATTACAACTGGCTTTAAAACACTTCCAAAATATAAAGGAACAATTAGATATATTTTTATTAATTTTTCAAAAAAATTGTGGACAGATTGCATATGTATACATACTTTAGCCTCATTGTGTTTCAAAGGAGGCACAGCAGTTCATTATTTGGATATATCGTTATTTAAGTCAGCACTTTATAGATGAATATTTCTACGCAGTTCTGTTCTCTTTCTCCACTTTTCAAGTATATTTCAGTAATATTTCCTGTACACATATCCTTTGCTTTTGCCTTGTTTTTGAGACAGGGTCTCATTAATTCAGGTTGGCCTCAAATTCATGATCTTCCTTGCATCAGTACATGTATCTTTATTCATACAGCAAATATATTTGTAGGATATGCCTTTAAAAGTAGATGTTTTTATATTTTGTGCCATTTTGCATAGATTTGTCAAAGTGGCTGCCTGTATCTAAATATTCCTGATTTGAAAAACAAAGCTTGACAAACTGAAGAAGAGTGATGCTAATTACTTCTACTCATCCTCTTATTTCATCCTATCCTAATTATAAGTGATAGATAGACAAGACAGTAAGCCAAAAAAGTCAAATCTTGTGGAGCAGACCACTGGGTTCTTAGAAGCAATGCCACAATGAGAGCCTGAAACAGAATCTAGTTTTAACCCCTCACATCACAAAGAAATTATTGCCTTCTTTATCTTTCTCCATTATTTTAAAATGATGACTTGATTTCTAAATTATACACAGTGTCTCTGGCCTTGAGGAGGCTGATGTCTGTTTAGGACCCTTCCAAAAGTACCTACCTAGACACTATGAGCTGGATGCACTGTAACAAATAGGGGCAGATGACAACAGCTTCTTAGTGTTCATTATTATTTCAGAATCTCTTTTAATTTGTGCTAACACATGGGGACCTCAACTGTAGAGCCTCTAATTTGGTAATCAGTTCACATACAAGCACATATAAAAACCTGAAGCAAACCTATCACTAAGTTGCTATGATTACTATTTTGACATGAGAGCGCATATTTAGTATTTTTTTGGACAAATTCTAAATGCGACTCAGTCAGGATTGGAGCCCAGGTCTAGGGCTCACCTCCCTTGCAGATTCTAGAAATTTATTTTTTGGTATCGGGGATTGAACTCAGGCCCTTGCACTTTGCCACGATCTAAATCCTTGGCCCTTTATAACAGAATTTTAAAAAGAAAAATTAGGAATTTTTTCCTCTAAAATATGAATAAAAGGTAAGAATTAGTAATTATGTAGACCGATTTATTGGTAAGGTGGGAACAGTTAAAGCAAGTCACACTTAATGGCTTTAAGTTTTTTCAGTGACATAAGTTAAGCTATTTGTTGAGTTACTGGACTTGGTTAAGAGCTAGAAGAAAAACAAATGAAAAAAAGAGTGACGACAGACCTTGGTAAATGAACTTCAATTAAATGGTTCCGTAAATGGACCACAAAGCAGCACTGAGAGCCCTAATGAGTAAATTGGAGTAAAATCATAACAAATAGGCCTGAATATAGAGCCAGAGTCTATGATTTGGAATATTAGCTTTTTTTGCATATAGACTTTTGATTTCTATTAGTTGCTATAGTTGACCATTTGCTCCTGTGAGATATGAAAGAGTTTTAGTTTAAAGTCAACAAAGATTACAGGCAGATAGATGTGATCCTAGTACCAGCCAGGATGTGGCCAAACACAACTCACAATTAAATTCTAATCTGATGGTTTCCTTTTTATTTATTTTTTAATTTTTTGAGATAAGGTCTTATGGCTTGTCTCTAGATGTCTCCCTAAAGCCTCATGTGCTCATAGGTGGGGCTTTTTGGAGGTGGCTGGATTTAGTCCACTGACTGGTTTAGCATAGCTCTGGGTGTGGGTGGCACCAACTAATAGGCTTGTAGTCTGAATCGAATAAAAGGAAACAGAAGGCTTGCTGCTGCTTCCCTGCCTTCTGTCTGCCCTGCCACAGACTGTTCATACTGCCCTGCCTTGAAGCCAGCAGACTATGGACTGAAACCTCTATAAACTATGAGCTAAAATAAACCTTTGCTCCATTAACCTGTGGGTGTCAGGTTGTATTTTATCCCGGCAACAAGAAAAGTAACTAAGACACAGGGTGTTGGTGAGTAGTTCAGGCTGGCCTTGAACTCATGGTGATCCTCCCACCTCAGCCTTCTGAGTGTTGGGATTATAGGCACAGGCCACCACGCCTAGCTAAACTGATGGTTTCTAGGCTGGGTGTAGAGGCATATGCCTGTAATCCAAGCACTGTAACCCTAGCGCTCAGGAGACTGAGGTGGGAGGATCACCTCAAATTTAAGGCCAGCCTGGGCTACATAGTGAGACCCAGGTCCTGAGTTACTACAAAATGGTGTGGCTACTTTGGAAAGCAGAATGCAATTCCTCAAAATGTTCAACACACTTACTATATGACTAGAAATTCCACTTGAAAAAAAAAACAAACAACGAGACCAAGATCTGTCATGTAAAGGTACAAGATCTCAATAATGAATGTAATTGTACTGTATACCTTAAATGTACCAATAAACTCAATTAATAAAAAAAAAATGAGATAGGTCTTATGTTGCCCAGGCTCAAAACTCCTGGGTTCAAGTGATGATTTTCCTGTCTCAGTCTCTTGAGTGCTGGCACTATAGGCATGTACTACCAGGTGCCATAACTCTACGTCTAGGTATATATACTCAAGAGAAACTGAAGACATATTACCTATACATAAACCTATATCCTAACATTGTAAAGAGACTAAATGTCATTAAGGTGTGAATGTACTAAATGTGACATTAAAGCAAATCAATTTATTTTTTAAAAATGGAAAAAAAAACCCTATATGTTCATATTATTCACAACAGCCAAAAGTGGAAACAAACAAAAATGTGCTATACTCACACAATGGAGTATTACTTGGTAATAAAAGAAACAAAATACTGATATATACCATAACATTATGAACTCTGAACATTATGGCAAATGGAAGAAGCCAGAAACAGATCACATGTTACATGACTGCATTTATATGAAATGTCCAGAGAAGTCACATGTATAAATATAGAAAGTAGAGTGAAAATGAGCATGAGGTTTATTTTTTAGGCTCAGGAAATGTGCTGATAGTGGTGAAGGTGGCACAACTATAAATACACGAAAAATCATTGACATGTATACCTGAAGCTGGTGAGCTTTACATGGTTAAAGTTATACCTCAATAAATCTCTTAAAAAAAAAAAAAGGATTGAAAAGGTTCCACAGCTAGCCAAACATCCAGAATTGTAGACTATCAGCTTTCTCACATTTTAAAGTTATTAATGACGTGTCCATTTTTTTCAATGAATAAAGGAAAGACAAGGGAAGCCACATGTGGCGGGGAATGCTTGTAATCCAAGCACACTGAAGGCTGAGGCAGGGAGATTGCAAGTCTGAGCCTAGACTGAGCTATTTAGTGATTTAGTGAGAACTTGTCTCAAACAAACAAAACAAACAAAAAATGATTGAGGATGTATCTTACTATGAAGGCACTGGGTTCAATCCCCAGTATGAGGGGAAAAAAAGACAAGGGAAATTTAAAATGAGAAAGAAGTGTAAAAGTGGACTGTACATCACTGCTGATTATAAATTGTAAATGGAACTGATTATAATCATAAAGTCTATCTTTGCCTTTTGAACTTTTAAAAAAATTTTTGTGGATGGGCCAGGGATTTAGCTCAGTGGTTTTGCCACCTGCCTCACAAAGCATAAGGACCCAAGACAAATGCTCTATAACTAAACTGTATTTCCCAGCCCCTTGTCTTTGCTTTTCATGACCCTTAGCTGATGGGGACTAAGAATTCTAGCTGTCTGGAAGAAGCTAAAGCCTATCAAAGAGAGCACCCTGAATTTAAGGGACCCTGTAAACTTCATAACCAGAAAGCCATAGTCTAATTCTTCATTCATCTGTTTTAATCATATCACCATTGTATGAAGGAGTATTTACGGCCTTAATTGTACACGGAGCCAGTCTTATCTCAGGCAACTACGTAGTCTGCATCAACATCAGATAAAACTGTGCTAAGGACAAAGATATATGATTTAAATGTCGGTCTTTATGTTCTGGATAAAGTTATGCTTGGTCAAATGAAGCTTCGTGTTATTTCTCTGTTAATGTGGTATGTGTTTAGGGTGCACAAAGGTAGGTATCAGCTTCATCTTTGCATCTGATCCTAGGCAGACGGTGATGCTAAAAGATTAATACTTAAATTATTTTACCACTTATCTAAGAGATAATCTTAGAATTTATGAAAGTGGGAGGCATTTTTCAGTACACTTGAAACTGGAATGAGAAACCTTGCCTGTTATTTTAGTTCCACTGCTCTAAGTCAGTACAACAAATTTCCTTCTCTGCTTTTATGTGTTAAAACTGTTACCTGAAATATAAATTTCTTTAGAGTAGGGATTATATGTTCTTAACTTTTATATCCCTACTGCCTAGTACAGTGCTTCTATAAGTACTGAATAAATGAATGAATGCATACATGCACAAGGAAATTAATTATATGCCTTCCTCTGGGTGCACTAGTCCAATTTTATGAATGTTGAGAGAAGAAGCCAATACTTTTAGAGTTTTTTTTAAATTTTGAAATGGCTTGGAGGAAAACTGAGATTATAATTTGAGAGACACTGGGGAAGTAGCTCCAAGGAAAATTAGCATTCATTCCAGGTAAACAGTTTAAAAATCATTAACAACAGGAATATTAAGATCTTCACTAAAACAATCACAAGAAAATTGAAAGACTACCTACTCTCATTGATTTTAGTTTTTGGACACTAAAAACATGCAGTTAAGTGTGACAACATGACGGTCCCCAGGAGATGACAGATTACACACAGAACATACACGTGTATGTGTATATGCTCCTCACTTGGGTGATTACGCACACACATTTCCTAGAAAACCTAGCAATCCACTAAATTGGAAAATGACCAATGTAACTGTCTCTAGTACTTCTCCTCTCTGTAAGACAGGGGTAGTTCTCTTTTTAAAGACTAAGGGAGGAACAAGTTATATACTTTAGGACATGAACTAACTTTATAGCAAAATAATTTCAGCAAGCAGGGCCTACACTGAAATAACAGTAGTTTCATTTCACACATACTGTTAAGGAAAATTTGCTAGAGACAAAAAGAAAAAGGTCTCCCTATTTCTTTACCTTAAAGATGTGTGCTTTGAGGATATGATGTCCCAGTTCAATGGTCTGCTGTCGGTTTAGTTTTCCCTCTTGGCGGGAAAACCAAAAGGCAAGTAACGTGTGACCACTCCTGCAAAGAAAAATAGACTCATTTTAGAGTTGCAATGCCTCAATTCTTCTCTGCGATGGGTACTGTTCAGGCCTAGCTATATCTCCAACAAAATTCATTTGACTAATATCTTGAGGAAGGGTACTTGCTGCTGGGCAGATAGATAATGAGTATTTTTCCCCCAGTACCAGGGATTTAACTTTCGCTTGCCAGGCAGGCGTGGTGCCACTGAGCTACATCCCTGGCTCTGATAGTGAATGCTGTAAAGTTCTTAGCTTTTAACAGTCCTTTACCCAATCACATGTATGACTATTACAGTCAATGAGTGAACATCACTTCTAGTTGGATTACAACTATACCACACAAAGGTGACATTAACAGATTTTCCTTTTTATTTTTTGTCTCTGTCAGGAACTCTTTATTTTCCCAATCCTTAAATGTCAGTGTTTCTCAGGATTTTGGTTATTAGTATTTCCCACTCCATCCTGTCTGGATTAGCTCGTTCATCCTCAGAGCCTGTATTACCATCTACAACCTTTATATTTTTTGTCTACCTAGACCTCTCTTCTCAGGCTTAGACAAGTATTTAACCAAATGTTTACTGGATAATGTTCTTTGTAGCACCTAAACTCCACAGGTCCTAAGTGAATTAACAACCTCTTTCTCAAATGCAGTCTTCTCTGATCTCTCTACCAGCCCTCGATCCTTTTCCTGAGTAAAGCATTTTCTTTTTGGTGCCACCAGTATAGATTGTACATACCTCTAATATAGTATCTACCACACTGTCACATGCTCTTTTTTCCACCAGGCTGCGTTTCCTGATGGTTTCCAGTCCCCATATCTCCTTGCCAACAGATTTCTTATCTGTTCATGAAAGAAAAATCTCTTTTTCTGCATCTGGATACTGTTTTATCTGTCTATAATACCTACATCTGCTTCTTCCCTTTTTAAATCATACGATCAACTATCCTGAGGACAAAGCCAAAAAGCAAGCTAGGCTATAAGAACTGCAAAATTATAAAGCCCAAATCCTGACTGTAGCATCCAAACTGCCCTAATTTTTGACTTGCTATTATATAAAGTAATAACTTTCTTTTGATTAATACATTTGATTTATAATTATGTGTGTGTGTGTGTGTGTGTGTGTGTGTGTGTGTGTGTGTGTGTGTGTGTGTGTGTGTGTGTGTGTGTGTGTGTGTGTGTGTGTGTGTGTGTGTGTGTGTGTGTGAACTAGGGACTGAACTGAGGGCTTTCACACTGAGCTATATTCCCAGTCCTTTTATTTTTTTTACTTTGAGACAGAGTCTCGCTAAGTGACTAAATTAACTGCCCAGACTGGGCTTGAATTTTCAGTCTTACTGCATTGTTTGAGATGACATTTGCTATAATCTTTAGGAACTCGGACACTTAGAACTATGTGGCTCAGCAGGTTAGTGTCAGCAGACATCTTTATAACACTACTAACTCAACCCTTCTACTCCTTTCATTTGGAGCCACAGAAGAGGGAAATAAAATCATTATATCTGTTTCAGTCTAATGAACTAATCAAACAGAAGTAAACTTTTGCTAGTTGATATTTCCCTGATGGAAGATCTAAATATCTAATGGAGAATTTTCTTTTACATTGAGCATTAGCTTTGAAAATCTTAAATTGAAGCTTGAAAAACAAACATTTATTTCATTTTTTTTTTTTAGTTCTAGGGAAAAAGTTGCAAAATAGGGGCTAGGGATAATTCCCAACTTACACAGAAATCACCTCAAAGAGATCTATCTTCCTTCCTTCTTTCCTTCCTTTCTATCTCTCTCTCTCTTTCTTTCTTTTGTATTGGGTATCGAACTCAGGACCTTGTGCTAGTGAGACAGGCAGTGGTGCCACTGAGCTAAATCCCTGGCCCTGAGATTTTTAGTAAGATTTAAAAAGGCAATTCTAACCTTTGGCTTCACAGTTTTTAAAATGGTAATGGATACCAAGTCAATGTAAAACAAAAACAAATATACAAGTGAATGTTTAATTGGATAAGATTACCCACAATGGAAAGGAAGTTATTTAAGTGGAAAGACAACCAAACAAGGGCGGCTCACATGGCACCATCACTATCATCTGAAGGTCTGAAATCAAGGTTGTTTTGTGCTCACAAAATTTGGAAATTGCCACTGACTTTTATTTATCCCATGAAAACTCTGTTTAGTTGGTAGACTGTTTTAGTAGAACACAGAGAAGCTGGATGATAATGAGAAGCATTTATAAAGTGGCCTATTTTCAAGGTCTCAAAATTCTATCCAGTTATTAACAATAACAGTACTGTACATTTCCTGATATAAGAACTGTTACTTTAAGTGACTCATCCATGGCTGTATAATAATGACTAGGACTCCTGAATATAAGTCCCTAATCTACTACCTATGCTTTAGGCCATGAATAAGAACCCAAGCCTAGTAGGGTTAAGGTAAGAAATTTATGCCTGACTAGGAAATAAATGTTCAGTTGGCCAAAAAATTAACCCTGCCCTAGTGTTCACCATAGCTGAAGAATCCTGATAAGATGTTTACATTTCTCTAGTATGCACTGCATTTGGCTAGAAATGACAGTGCTGGCTTTTGCTGTTGACTGGGCACTGAGGAGAAACAGTAAGCAATATTGGTCAAGGATAAGGATCACAACTATAGTTCATTTTTAAAAAAAATAGAAGTATGATATAATAGAAGAATGGTTCTGAAGCCGGGCGTGGTGGCGCATGCCTGTAATCCCAGCACTTGGGAGGCTGAGGCAGGAGGATCGCTGTGAATTCAAGACCAGCCTGGGCTACATAGTGAGTTCCAGGTCAGTCTCAAATACACAGTGAGACCCTGTCTCAAAAAACAAAAAACAAAACAAAAGAAAAAAAGAATGGTTCTGATTAATTGGATTCAAAGCTGTGGTTAGGTTCAGGGATTTAGCTCAGTGGTTCCACTGCCTGCTTCGTAAGTGCAAGGTTCCAAGTTTGATCCCTGGTACAAAAAAACAAAAACAAAGCTATGGTTAAAGGGAAACAGAAATTTATATTATATGCTGGCATACATCTTTCCTGGTAAAATATGATACCACTAACTAAGGTGCAGACTGAAAGTGTTATACTTTTGTTTCTATTTCTCTTATCATTTGCTCACTCCTGAATCTTATTATTCTTTTTGACTCTCAGCCTCACCATTCTCTAAGATCACTGGTAGCCTCTTAATCCAGAATAGATTTCTCTTAGTCTTTCATCATTTTTCTCCCTATTATTTACTGTCTCCCCTTTCTCCTTCTTTTCTTCTCCCTACTCTTTAAAATGTTTAAAAAATTTTATTTGTTGGTTATATTTGAGACAGGGTCTTGCTATGTAGTCCAGACTGTCTAAGCTGGCCTTAAACTCACCATGTAGCCTAGGCTGGCCTCCAACTCTCAGTGATCCTCCTGCCTCAGCCTCTCAAGTGCTGGGATTTAAAGTGAGCACAAGCCAGGGATTTAGCTCAGTGGCACACTGCCTGCCTCATAAGAGCAAGGTTCTGAGTTCATCCGCAGTACCAAAAAAAAAAAAAAAAAAAAAAAAAAAAAAAAAAAAAAAAAAAAAAAAAAAAAAAAAAAAAAAAAAAAAAAAAAAAAAAAAAAAAAAAAA